CTTTGTGTCTAAGAATATAATAAAAACATATGTTTATTCCTGTCTATACAGGCACATACCAATTCTAAAGGTGTGGATAACTTATTGTTTGAATTACTTAAATTCGGTTTATAATGAACTTACATTGTTGCTGTTTTTTTGGTTTTAGAGTCGGTTGGAACAGTCAGCTAACTAGTCAATGAATAAAGCTCATTAAAAAATATAAAAGAATCGTCCTCACATTCACAAAATAATCCAGGTCTGTGGTGGGTGAATCAAGCATACCTGGTGTCAGTTCTGTTACATAAGTTTGCAGTAAAAGGTATTGAATATCATTTTTAGTTTATAGTCAGATGGTGTGTTAATTTAAAATCGGCTATGTATTTGCTCCATTTCCTCAGGAAAATAATCTTAGGGTTGAACAAGGGGTGAATTATTTTTCGGGCAGGCAAACGTCAAGCAAAGCTATCTGGAATTGATTTACTGCATCAAATAAATGAATGTCCTACTAAATCGATCATTGCCGCGATTTGCGGCTGCACTGCGGTATGTACGCAAGTGAGGATAAACGTTATCGTGATATATTATTGCGCGCTGTATGGGTTATCGCGTTCACGCCTACAGAGGCGTTATAAGCGTTTATTTTTGTTAAAGTAGATTATGTATGACTGGTTTCAGGCTTCTATAGCTGAAAAGCAGTATTTTCCAGTATTGTGTTCGTATTAATGGGTAAAACTGTCATGATATCCCAGAGGATGTATTACTTCAAGAACTCATCGTATATAAGAAATTTAGCATAGAAAGACTATTATTTGCGTTTTAGAGCCGTAAAGGTTTGTTATTTGCTAGTTTTTTGAGGATATTAAGGTTGAAAATTAACTATAGGCAATGGTTGTTGTCACAGCAGTTATTCTATGATAATGAGACATTTGAAGGATTAAACAAGTAAAATGCACGTTTTGAGGATGCCAAACACTTTTTTATCATCATCCGTGGTGATTGGAATATTCCATAACACATCGAAGAAAGCATGCGATGAATGAGACAATCTGCTGAATTTCCTGGTGATTTTATCCATTTCGATGAAGTTCCTAGTTAAAATCGCTCAGGTGAAGATGTGATACTAGTTTAATTTACATTGTCGCATGGAATTTCGGGAGACCGTAATTGCTGAGTGCATTACATTTTATCCGATTATGTTGATAGCATTGTGCAATTGGGCAAAAAGAATAGTATAGATGGTCCTTCTAAAATGTCAAACTGCTTCAAATTAGAATCAGCTTTCTGTGGAATAGTAGCTAGCAGCTGTGTCCTACAACTACGTGTTACTTAAGCTATATCAGTCTTAATAATTTTTCACTTTCAGATCACTAAGATATTCTGAGATCCTTAATGAATTACTTGTGACTATGAATTATATGGAAGGTACACTTATGGCTCATGTTTGTAAAGCATTTATTATTAAACAAGTTATCTGTAGGGATTTTGTGATGTTCAGGTTACAATGCTTGAGTGTATGTAGTCACTGCATGCTATTGTACTTGAAGGGACATTTGGTGAAAGTGAAGATAGAATAAAGTTTCCTCTAAAGTCACTATGAATACTGCAAACTGTTGATAAGAAACTGCATCAAAGGAAAAAATTCCGAACAGCTAGAAAATATTACTGCAGTTTCTCAGGATGCTGTTCTCCTCCTGAAATACCTTTTAATAAGTGGTGTTCATTGTGAAGGGTTTGCGGTTTAACTTTTATGATAATCCGTTTTAATTGCTTGTACAATAATTGAACAATCTAAACTTTTGAAAAAGTTTTAATTTACGATACTTCACGATTGCAATTTATAACATAACTTATTGTGCCTCTAGAGATGCCATGCATTCCTTGTAAACACCCGTTTATACGACATATTAAATTATTATTTGCTTGGTGCTATACTTTAGAAGAGGAACAATGTGTGTGACAGTGAAAACCGCAGAAGAATGCTGTCATGACCAAAGAATGAGAAGGGAGAATGAACACTTTTCAGCAAAGGTAGGAAAATATAAAGCGTTTAACTTTTACATTACTTATTTCTAACTTCAGCGATTTAAAAATTACACTTCATTCACTTACTTGCAGATGTTCGGTGAAGTCAGTCAACCTGGTCACAGCAATTACGCATCCCCGAAGTAATTACGGAAAACAATTGTGTAAAGACATTCGCTTATTATTTTTCATTAAATATATTTAACATCCTGCTTACCATACTTTTCTTATTCTGTCTCAGTGAAACTAAATTTGTCATTATGACGAGATGGAGGCCTGACCTACCAATGAGACCTGAGGAAGTAATTGTAGGCGTAATTCAACGTAAGGGAAATCTTACTAACATTGCTACAGCTCAACCTATTAAATTACTCGTCTCGTGTAGACTTCATTTTACACTGTATGTTAGCACCCGTAGACATATGGATTGACATCACGCTTTAAGTGAAATAATAGTAATACACTACTTGTGATTACACTTAACCTCATACGAAATCGAATTCCACTGCAGTGCCTAAGTTCTATTCTTATTTTTCAAATACTGAAGTTAGGTATTTTTGTCATTAGTCCCTACAGATTTATCTATAACTGGGAGACGTAATCGCGTAACTTTAGGCAGATTTTTAGACTTGACTGAAGTACTTATAATTCACCACTTTTATCGATGGATAGTGTTCCTACAGAATTGCACTTACGTATAGTAATGAATTCATATCCTAGGGAGCACCGGTCTAGCATCCCGTACTCCCAACGCGAACACCTTGGCAAAAATTAAAAGATGACTATGTCTAGTGTCACTTAGTGTACATTGCTTCTACCTATATAAATTGACTTCATCAACATTTTCTCGTAATTCTCTTGTATATGCGTATGTATAGGGTTGTGTGTTTTGAAAGCTGTAAATATACTTCGTACATATGTTTTAAAATATTGATGACACTTGTAAATTGGCATTCCTCACGTATACGCAATTGAGAATATATTATTCTAGGGTCATTGTTGACATAAGAACAATTGTCGTTAACACCATTCGCCCACTCTTCGCGTTCACCCACCGACAGTAAGGGGTAGTTTTCATTATGACGCTGATGCGAACATGCAAATATGTCGTTGCAGCGTCACAGAAGACTTTCTTTGCATTTTAAGCCAGGTACCACTGTCATGTGATGGCTATCGCATACTAGTGACTCGATTTGTATATTTCTTATTAGTGGTTAGTCCCTAAGGAGAAAGAAATTTAGCTTTGGTGATTTCCTCCCGTTCCTTGGCCTGTAACATTATTGTTGGTTTCGTAGATATCAGCAGTTGTGATGGCATCTAGTAACTGTCTACCGAATATACTACTCTATGCATACTTCTCACGAATATTGAGTGACTTTGCATCGAAGTCATTGGCGAGAATAACCTAGTGGAATCCAATGTTAGACCGAAACGTATCGCTTCAATCACCAAATGTTTAACTCTTATCCCGGTGGTCATTGTACTTCTACCTGGAACCTGATTCTCTCAACCATCATGTAGTACCAAACTGACGCCAAGTGTCTGGTCACTGTTGCATTAGCGACTAAACCTGATGTGATTTGGTTTCATAAGTCCTAAGGTGCTTTACCTTCGTATTTTCTGTTCTAACCTAAAGTGTCACCTTTCCAAGGCCACTTCGTTGTTTTCAACGCCGGATGACATTCAGGCTTCCGTCAGAATAATTACACTGAGTAAAAGATGGGGGCCCACTTATCTTCATTCTCACCCCTCTGATTTTGGCGCGGAGTCGTTTTTTATTTTGCAGCGTCACTTGCCGCAAGTTCCTGGAAAACGTATGTCTACAGCTATGGGTTTCGCGTAATTGCGTGTTTGATGAGATACCACTGGTTACCCATTGTCTATATGGTTTCAGCCTGATGTCACACGATTGGTTATTTTAACAATGGTGAAATTCGTCCTAATTCACTGGGTGAGTCTAAAGTGCCTCTTTATGGTTTGGGTTTTCCATTGGCTAAGGTGTCCCACTTATAAGCCCGTTATATTTAGCCCTTTGTTTACTCAATACTCGTCTGCAGCTTAACCTACCCCGTCACTGATTCACCGAATAACGACGTATTTGCCGATGGGCTGCCATGATAGGTGACTACAGTGCTACTCCTGTTTGACTTCGAGAGATCTCATTGGAGGGAGGATATTTATGTAACGCATCTGTCAGTAGTTCCAGATCAAACGTTGGCAGTGTAATAATAAACAGTTTGCCATTATAGTCACAGTTGATTACCAGATACTTTAGTCTGGTGCCCGATTTATTGGTATCTCCGAGTTTAGGTTTTCTTGGCTGATCGCTGATGATGTTTCTCCTCCTTTGGAAGTAGTCTTACTGAATTCATTTGGCCTGTTAGTGCCCTATATGGTGAAGTATGACTTTTGAGGCATGTTCGATAGACATGCCAAGATCACAGTCAGAGTCTACCTAACATAAATTTTCAGATTTGTTGCACCCGCTGCCCACATTCATCACGTTCAACGGTTGTGTCGGTTCTGGAGATTTAGTTTGTGGGCGACACACTCGTGATTAGCTTGTCTATCTTTCTGAACTTTTATTTCCTTCCAGGACGTCTCCACAGGATCATCACGGAAAGTTCCTCAAACCGTGGCTCATATAGCGCGGCCAACAAATGCAACTCCTTAGAAGATTAAGTGGTATCGGCTCAATCGGTGAACAATTTCACAGGGAATTCGATCTTTACAGACACATACACATACACAGAGATGCATGCAAGGAGGTAACAGAGATAGATCAACACAGACTACACGTATCTTCTGTCCTGTATCATCTGAATCTAAATGCCTGTCTCTATTCGAATGGTGCGTCGCCTGACTATTGATGGAGTCTTTTGTAGAGGCTTAACTTAGTTCATCTGAGACAGAATCAAGCGTTCACAGTACAGTAATGTGAAATAACTAAGATATTGTTGTGAGTCCACTATCCTAGAAACCTGAAACTTGTCACGTTCGGCGCCAATTTTGGGGATGGCGTAACTCAATGAAGAAAGCAGGTGAGAAGGACAGGCGGTATGACAGACAGTTAAGGCTCTGGGGAGATCATGGACAGTATGCGCTAGAACGTGCTAAAGTGTGCTTGTTGAGGGCAGGGGCTCTGGGAGCGGAAATTCTTAAAAACCTAGTGCTACCTGGTAATTTTATTATATTTACTTGACCACACATTAGGTGTTGGCAGTTTCACAATTATAGATAACTGTTGTGTGACGGAGGATGACTTAGGAAGCAAGTAAGTGGCTTTTCCTCAAGTATTATTTCAGTTTCTTTCTCTCTGAAAACCACTTAGGAAAGGTAATGAGTTAACAATTTTCGTGTTAATTTCCTCAGTCAAGAGCTCAAGCTGTGACAGAAACTTTGATGGAGCTAAATGAAGAGGTGAATGGAAATTACTTGATTGAGGTTAGTTCGCTTAACATTCCTTTTGTTTACTTGTAGGATATTCATGATTTGTTGGAAAAAGACCCTCAGATTTTCCTCTCCTTTGATGCTGTTATTGTAACTGACGCCAGAGAAAAGTAAGTAGGGATACTTTCCCAAGTACTTTATTTAAATTCCTGGTAACGTTTCTTAAGGATGGGGTAATCAGCTTTTTGTTTTTCATCTAAATAGCCAGTCGTTCTAGCAGTACCGTTTCAGTCTTCAATCTTGTTTGATGAAAAATATTAAGCTAGAGCGAGCCTGTTATAATCCTTACACGTAGGTAAGACTTCTTTTCAGAAGCGTGCACTGAAAGAAGGGACACTAGTTAATGGAGTGGACTGTTGCAGTTATCGACCTTCCTATCTCTTATTCGATTACATTTTTTTATGTATCCGCTGTAGGCGATTACACTTGTTTTGTGTTTAGTAGTAGTAGTAGTACTTTGCTCTGTCTTTGCAACGCTTTTACTTGCATGTAACCACACAACGGGGTGGGATAGGGTATAAATATGAGTATATATATATATATATATATATATATATATATATATATATATATAGTTTTATATTCTTTAATCAATCATCGAGTGAGTGATTTTAGCGTACATAAAACGAAATGAAATAGAATGTTCAATTGCATAGTATTCTGTCGCTAACGCAGTATTGAACTGTGGGAATATGTGGGAATAATATTCCTTTGGAACACATTGTCTGTATCACACCACCACAACCTGATTCATGTGTCTTAATAATAATACCGTACAGTCTACTGGCGTCAGTTTTGCGCAGTACAAGAAACCATGTAGACTCAGTGATCGCAATATTTGGCGTGCTGAATCAGCTGTAGATATGTTAATCTTTTTCATCAACGTATCTAAAGGTGAGGTAAAAGTGCTTGAGAAAGGAATTAACTTCAGCGTAATAGTTAATGGACCGAAACTCAAGGATCTCATCCCCAGTATATAGATAGTACTAATTTTAGTAGATAAGGCAGTGGTTGAAAAGATACGAACACAATGTCCGTTAGCATTTAAACAACAAAAGAAATAGAAGTAACACTTGACATAATGCGTTTATTTTCCCAGTTAGATCTCAGCAAAAATTTATTTAAGTGTGACGGCTTATATGTTTTCTACTTATTCTAAAATTCAGTGAGTTTTTGGTTGATGTCATGTGGATAATACACAATCACTGAATTTCATGGAATGAACGTCCCAATAAGAGAAATTTCTAGTCGTTTTCTGGCTAAGGCTAATTAACTTAAATATGCAGTTTTTAAAATATTTCTCTATCTAGTCTGATGATTAAAATGTGTCGAAGTTCTGTTTCCGTCTTAAAAAAATACTTGGATTAACGAATTCGTGAAATACGTGAAAGTTAATGGTTTTCTTTTGTTCGTTTGATATGAGTTAGTCTATTCATGGAGGAAAGGAGCTTTATCTGCAAACCTGTAGTTGTGGTTGTTTGTATTTACTGAGATGTTTTAGTTATTTACAAACAAATAATGTCGACGTTTTTCTCTTTTTATTTGCTTTTTTCTATTCTTTCTCTTTAGATTGTTAATTCGTCTAAGTCAACTTTTGCACGGTACTTCAATAACTCTGATTGTGTGCTTCAGTATCGGCATTGTAGGATATTTACGAATCTGTACTCCTGAACATGTGATAGTAGAATCACATCCAGATTCTTCTTGTCCTGATCTCAGGCTTGATCGGCCACTTCCAGATTTAGTCAAAATGGCGAATGACCAGCCGTTGGAAGAAATGACATCTGAACAGCTTAGTCATACACCTTGGCTAATAATCGTCCATGTTTTTGTACAAAAGTTTATTTCACTTGTAAGTTTTAATACAAGTAGTGGGTTACTAGATTTTCAATTTATAAACAAAGTTCGGAGTTTTGTCGTGAGTTATACTCTATAGGATTAAAAGAACCTTGGTATCTTTTTAGCCTGTGGTAACACTACAAAATAGCCTACTTTCTTACCTGCTTAATCACTAATTTGTGAGTAACTAAGACCTTTACAGAATCATCTGCTTGCGCAGTTAGGACCTCTCTGGTACACTTTACTTATGAAGAACTTTTGCTAAGACGAATGCAGTTAACATTGGTTCTTCTGTGTAAGTTGTACTGTTAGTTAGATGGTTATTGAGTATATAAGAGACTTATACGCTTCTTTCTGTATAGCAGTTTCCAGTTGTAAGTGTACGAAACAAGTACGAGATGTGATGTAATTGTCTCCATTATTAGAGACTAGCGGCTGAATAATGCTTAAGTTAAGACTAAAATAGTAAAATGCGGAGTTAATTCACGTTTGTTAATTCTCATTACTGTTAATAGGTATGGTGTATTTTACTTATGCCTATCAGATATCTTTCTAGGAAGGAATTTTTGATTACAAGTTATGATTGACAATGAAAACAACATCCTTTTATGAACTATCGTTTAAAATCGAATGACTATGTAATCAAGATTTGATAATCATACTGGTGGCTCTCTGTAGAGCATGTGGTGACGGAAGTGGAAATAACCAATGAAAGCCAGTTGAGTACTGTGCTAATAATTCTAATAAAGCTCTTTTTCTCGGTTTCAATATTCCTCTCACAGCCCACCGAGATTGCTTTATATTTTTACAATTAAAGTAATTTAACCAGCGCTTTCATAAAGTCAATGGCTTCCTAAAAGTATCTGTGTGAATTCTCGTTTATTGGTTGCAAATTGTCATACATGAGCTCCATTTTTATAAACTTCAACAGCAGTAATTTGCCCAAGGTGAAACAACAACATTTTTATTTCATTGGTAAAATCTCTCAAAATCGTTCTCAGTGACGTAAATGTATTCACTCCTTTTCTGTCTCCTAAATCTGTTTAATTCTTATTATTCTCCATGTAATTATTCTTTCTCATATACATTTTTGTTGGTTATTGTTTCTTCTCACTTTTCCCCTTTTTGTTGTACTTATATGAAATGTTGCAACTTGAACTGTTCTGCTAATGTTCAAAGTTCTCCTCTGAAAACTCAGTTGCTTTCGTCTATTTTTAGCTCAGCGCTAGAATGCTCGCCAACTATGCATGTCGTTCGAGCCGGCCGACGCACTCATTTACTCCACTAAATCAGTTATAAGAGTGGTAAGAAAAGAAGGTTGGGCATGCGGCTAGCAACCCCATCCCCGTAAAAACAAACACCACCGCTATCGAAGCTTCAAGCCTCCAGCTTGATGCTCTGTGTTCCACTGGAAACGTATTGGGATAAAAAAAATTTGTAACTTAGATTATAGAAAGATACTTGTTTGATAAAAATTCGAATTAGTGTGGTTCACTGGAAAACAAGTTAGCCAGTTAACTGTAGTCGTTCTTGATCAACCGCCTCTGTGTTTTCAACACTTGATCATTGTTTACAGCCGTCGCCTTGTAAGCATCTTTTGGTGATCCACAGTTCCCCCAATTTATTACTGAGGCGTAACATTTTCAGGAAATATCTGAGGGAAATTAATATTTGTTCGTTTGTTTCAAATTTTAAAGCAATGCTATCACAATGACAAAATCCCTCGAGTAATAACGGGCAGCATTAGTCAGGGCGCTTTCTGGAGACAAACTGTTTCAAGTCTACCGAACAATTTGTCCCCTACTCTACTCAAAAGTTGTAGATTACACATAACATGTAATTGCCAAAGCAAATATGTTAAAGATTAGTAAAGAACGATCTTTTTTTGATTTTCTGAACATGTTCTAAAGACTAAGTAGCATTTTGAACAGAGTAGTTATTTGTCATCTGATTGACATATAACATCAACTAGTTGCACTGATAATAAACAGGCAAACCAGTTCGACCCTGTTCCTAAAGTTCTCTAGGTCTAAAATCACTAAAACTTAAATGTGCTCTAAAGGAAGCACTCAATAGTTAACACTGCAATTGTTTTATGTTAAGTATTTATTGAAGTTAATTCAACTTAATTCAGTTTTTATAGTTCGTATTTGTATCATTGTACGGTTTATTTTTCCTTTTTGTTTCACCGTTAAGCATGGCCATTTCCCACGAAATCATAAAGAAAAGGCTGAAGTTAAAGATATGATCTCTAAAGGTAATTACATTCCATTTTCATCTTCTACATCTTTTTATCGCTCACTTTTGTCTGTGAAGGTTTGTCTAGTAAATTTCTACCAAAGTTACCATCTCATGAGAGGAATTATTCTTAGAACGCTGTTTGTCCGGAACATATTTTTCATTTTCCAGACTGACTGAGTGAGTGAGCCACACTTAATGTGTGAGGGCTGATAATGCAACTCAGTTGCCCGAACAGAAATCGATGCCAAGAGATTAAAAGCCAAAACCTGTTGTCTAGAAGTCGAGTGTTTGGACCGATAGGCCATGTTTCCATAGTTTCATGAACCAGAAAAAGGGATACAATAGTTGTGTTGCTGGTAACCTTACTTAGTCTTGGTTAAATTTGTTAGTTTATTTAGAATGTAGTTTGTTTTTGACGAAGTCATCAACTAGGCTGTACATTCGTGTATATAGAGTAGAGGGGTGAGGAGGTTCCAGAACTATTTCCGGCCAAGGATGAAATTATAACGAATAACAAGATTAAAAATGGGGATTAAAACAGAATAATGGCAAAATGAACAGGAGGTCCGGATAAAAGAACACACAGCAGAATAATAATTATTTGGAAAATTGACTGTTTGTGCGAATAGGGATTAAAAATGTAATAATAGTAATAATAAACACGAAGTTTCGGACAAAAAGTATAATCGAACAGTCAGTATTGAAAGAAATGGCTTTTTATGGTTATCATAGTGAAGACAAAGTTTGGATGTATTTCTTTTGAATGCGTAGCGTTGGCTTGAATTTCTGAATCAAAAGTGCCACAGCTATGCCCAAATATCTTAATCTCACTCCTTTTGATAGGTTAGATCTGACCTTGTATAGGACTTTGAAGGACATTTCAAATTGAGCTGAGTATCCTGAGTTCACTAGATGTTATCTTACGAGAGATATCCATACCTACGTTCTATCTTTGCTAGGCAGGTGTTCGAGAACACTATCCAGCCTACATAATGCTAATTAGCACAGTTATTGATTTATGTTTATCTATTAATTCTGCTACTAGGTGTGTTTTTAGTTGTATAGATTCGGAAAATTCTGTATTGAGTGTTTTAAATACTTTCCAGAACTGTATATACTTGTTTTTATTCATAACTGTGATTGCAGTTCACTACTACTAATGCATCTTTGCATACATTCGCATATCGCGAGTCAGGAGGCAAGGTGTAGATGTGCTTATTATTGTCTTTCAAGGAACTCTTGTTTTACAGTATTGAGGCTTTCATGCTTGATTTTTTGATGTGATATAGAGGTGTAGAAATATTTGTCTTTTAGTCTACAATGTACTGAAAAAAGACTTCCTCTACATGCCGGTAATAAGTCGTCAGTTTCCAACTATTCATTCGGTGGCTCAGTGAGGGTGGTACGCTCTCAACTTTTAGCCGATTGGTCCCAGGTTCGAATTCCATACTCAATCTGGCTTCAATCTGGTCAACTGAGTAGTTGTAGTAGAATAGTAGTAGCATCATGCATTAAACAATAAGTCTTACAAATGAATAGCTTGTTCTTCGTAATCGCGATACAGCCTAACTAACTCATTTAGTGTTAGCGATAGCATTGTTTATTATACTCTGTCTGATTCTTGAATAAACTAAACGCTAATCGAGAATTCTTGTCCGTATGAATGTCTGTTTCACTTCTTCCTTAGGCGCAATCGATCTTTGGAATCAACTACAAAAACGTGAAAGTAATTTGGATGCATCATATGTATTAGAGAATTTCCAAGAGGCATGCCGTGCAGTTAACACAGCAGTTTCACCGACCACAGTTAGTTTCTTTTAATCAACATTTTTTCTTTTCTATGCAGTTTAAATTTATTTCTAATCAATAATTATATGGTATTTTGTTTAATGACTAGAGGAGAACTAGTGGAAAGGGTTGATTAAATCTAGACAAGCGGGAGGAAAAGTGGAAGAGCATGAGAAGATAGAGGCAAATGTATGTCTAGAGGGGAAAAGTACTTGAACAAAAGAATCTTAAACGTAAATAAACTTAATTTCGTTGGTTTTCATGAACTTGCGATTGTCATTTCAGTCTTCAGATTAGCATTTGGCTATCTAAAAGTATCTCTTGTATGCGTCTGGGAAGCTGACTCGTTATAATATATATATATATATATATATATATATATATATATTATAGGCTGAGTTTTACAGTTCGTTAAAAAACAAGTTCGGTGTTTTATTTGGTTTTGTATTTAATAAATCTACAGTGTTTAAGACCTCCCGGCTTAAATCTTTGCCGTTGGGCATATTATTTGATATAGAAGTTGGTTTTAAGTAACTGATGAAGTCATTGGTACTCAGTATGCTATTATTAGTTCAGTCTGTTGAATAATATGGGTAGTAATGTGTCATTTTATTTGCTAAGTTCTTAATGAGTATGATTTAATTTTAGGTATAAAGGTTTTTGAGTTAATTTAAGATGAACCCTGCTGAGATTATTTATACCTCTTACCAAAGAAAACTAAGAGTGAAGTCTCATTTAGAAGTGTGTAATTTGCAATCACGTGGTTTAATTGTTAAAGACAGGATCGGAAAGGCGAGACACACCTTCATTAATCAGTTCGGAAAACTGTTACATTAGGCATAGGGAACAAGAATCGGATTTTCAACACTAATATCAAGTCAGTTCTTCTATATGTTTCAAGGATTTGGCTCGTCACGTAAAGCATATCTAACAGGTTTCAGACTTTCATCAACTGCCGCCTTCGCTCGATATTAAAGATCAGATGACCAGGAGGGATTAGCGACAATGAACTCTGCAGTGCAATGACGAACCAACCAGCAACCAATTACCTAACAGATATACCGAGAAAAATAGAGATGGGTTCGATACATGCTGGGGAGATCTTTGATGAGTGACATCGTGCGTCAGGCAGATCCTCGAGTAGAACTCGAATGGTAAATGACGAGTCACGGTGGGTCTGAGAGTGACAGGGAGGAGATGAGAGCTTATAGGCTATCACAGTGCTGACTAAAAAGGATGGCAGGAAACAGGATAAAATGGCGATGTGCGGTTAAAGCCCTGTATGTCACACTCGGAACCTAAGGGAGTAATAGTAATAATAACAATAACAATATTATTATCATTACTACTGCCTTTTAATTACGTTGAATTAATTCTTAATTTTTAGATTCCTTTAAATGTGAAGAAGTTAATTGAGGATGACCGTTGTGATGATGCCTGTCTTCTAAATACGGGAATCCCGCGATCGTGTAGTGCAGTATGTTTTCTCTTTGTGTTGCTGCTCATTCGTATTTTTCTGCTGATAATCCATTTTCTCGTTGTTTTTTTTTGGTAGTGATAATTTATATTGCCTTAGGTCTTTATATACATACTGAAGTTTTAAGTATTGAATAAAAGTTAATGTCCAATGTTTGTTCACTAGCTGGCATCGATTAGAGAACCATTAAAATCCAAGGAGTATTGGACAGTGGTTCCAATGGTTCTCTAACTCAAGTCACTTCGTGACCAAACTTGAAATCAGTCGAACTCCGTGCAAAACAACACTTGCTAGCAATTCATATGTTCTGTACAGACAAAGGAGAATAATTTATCAGGCTTTAGCTTCTTTTTTAACCGGAAATGGTGTATGAACAGGGAAGTTTTTCCACAGTAGTAGTTGATTTAATCTTTAGTTATATATTCATCGTATCTAGATTCAGTCCGATACGCACTAGTAAGACATTTGTTTTTACAGTTATGTTAAACTATCGGCATTGAAATGATACAATAAGACAGACCTAGCTAGTGTTGGTTATGTCAGCTTTATTTCACCCTTCTACTTTAAGCTGACATCATCAAAGTAGCAGACACTAAATAAAAGTGTGCTTTGGATTTCGAATAACACACTTTAAGTATTGGTTTCCAGGGATTTGACTGACTTAACTCTTGATCACAAACTTTTTTCAGCTAGAGAACTACTGAAAACCAAGGTGTGTACTGGACGTCTGCTTCATCCTTGTTTAGGACTCTTCGGAAGTATATATGTATAGCTGTGACCGCGTCAAGGTGCTCCCTGGCTTTCAGTTATTCTCTAAATGAAGTCAGTTCATGATGGAACATGAAATCAATGAAATCCTTGCTAACCAGGACTTGAAAATTAAGTTATTGTCCATCAGTCACTGATTACAAGATGAAGTTGCTTGAAATTCTACTGAGAATTCGTGACTGGCGAGGTTTACCAAGTTGGGTTTGGCGATAGATACTCGCTAATGACATCAGCCTGGGGTAGCGCTTTATATCTCTTGATGGGTCATTTGATTCTGTCTCAGCGGCTGAACAGTATACCAACTCGCCTTATAACTTGAAGGTACGGGGTAGGATCATGGGTGCGAAATTCTGATGGTTCGCAAACAAGGACCAAACAACTGTCCAGTACTCTCTGGTTTTCAATGGTTCTCTAACTGGAGTCAATTCGTGATCAAAATTCGATAACATTTGTTTTTTACATCTGATAGTTTGAAAAGCGATTTCACGTTACTACATGGTGTTAATGCATACTGAATCAAAAATCATTGACTGTTCACAATTCTTATAAAGTTTAAGGCAAGCATAGAATAGATTTCATTTGTAGACAGATTTTGTGAGTTCAAGAATCTGGCTGACCTAATCGAACATAATTACCTCTACAAAAGGCGATTTATTATCTTTTAGGTCAAGTACAAAGGTCATACATAGTAAGAGGTGAGATTTAGTCGGTGTATCATAGCCTAAATGAGTTTGTGAGATATTGAAAGAGAAATGTCTTAAAGTTATTGAAAATTGTTCATTTATCATTTTTCAGAGACAGAAATACTAGGATATCTCTTGAGACAAATATAATTAGTTAGTACCGTGACCATGTACGTTGTTCGCGCAGAGGTAGAATGCTCGCCAGCTACTGGCATGGTCCGGGGTGTGACCGCAGTCCAACGCACACCTAGACCTTGCTTAGCTGGTAATTATTCAGGCAAAGAGGGAAGGTTGGGCGTGAGACTAGCAATCCCACTCCGTGAAAATAAAACCACAGCTACCGAAACTTCAAAGCTCTAGCTTGAAACCGTGCGTTCCACTGGGAACGCAAATGAATAAAATAAAAAATAATACCGTTAGCAGTTGACTAACACCCAGAGCATCCAATATTTTTATGAATTAACAATCACTATAAGATTTAGTGAAGGGAAGAACAGTATTTTTCTGGTTCAATACAATTATTTAAATGGTTTAACACTCTCTCTTTGCACTCTGTTTTCTGTGTTAAATGTTATAATATGAGGAACGATGTTGAGTTAGTTTAGGCGTAGAGTGCTAGGTAAGGAAACGAAGTCAATTGATAAGGTTGTGAAGCCACATCAATTGAGATATCTAGGACAAGTGTTGCGCATGCTAAGCCACCACCTTCCTGGACGAGCAATGTTAGCTGAAGTAAGATCACATTGACAAAGACTTAGGGTTAGTCAAATCAAAACCTAGCATCAGTGGACGAAGTGTTTTTCAGTTGGGTTGAGCCACATAAGGAGGTGTAGATTGACTGGTTTGGGTCCGCAGGTTGTCAAGAATTAATGACACGAGGTTACTGGTGATGATATGGCTGAAAGCTGTTCTCACTGGCGTAGATGCATTCACTCTTTGATATCTCTCTCCCTTATTCATTAAACCCTAGTGCTTTTTCGTGTTACCATTCTTTCAACCTCACATTTGTGCTTATATTAGCTCTTTTAAATTTTTTTGTACTCCTGTTTGTTTAACTTTGTGTGCTACATAGAGTATTGCAACTTGACCTGCTATACTTCTAAGCAAAGTTCTGTGTTGAAATTCAGTCAGTCAGTCAGTAGAACTGGACAGTTCGACAGTCTTTATTGTCATACTAGTCAGCGTCATTGGTCGCTTTTGTTGTTAACATTGTTTAAACTGGCACTGGACATATTGTGTTTAATTCATTGGATTTAGAAAGAATAACAATTTTAAAAAATAAGCAACATAATGGTTACTTGTAAAAACTATTATAAACTATAGTAAGGGTTATTCAGTTTTGTGACTGTTGAGTTGATTGTATGACTGTGATGCAACTGAACAGTTATATCATCGATAAGAATAAACTGAATTAAAGCTTATTGACCTACCTACTGATCGGACTGTTTAATAGTGTGGCTGCCTAATCACTGCTCTCCGGAAAACTTTATTACTCGCTCAAGCTTCTTCTTGAACTAATGTGAGAACACAGGTCACCTATTCGTCAGTACGTATTTATCGTGAAAACGATTTTTTCGACAGTCATCAGGTTGCTAATGAACTCTTACCAACAGATATTTAAGTTGCATTTCTGTCCCGTGTAACAGTAAATAATTTATCACCACACATTGTATAAAATCAGTAGATCTGAAACCAATTTGATTTTATCGAAGAAGTCATTCAAATTAATTAATTTGAACGCTGAGCATCCGGCAGAAACATAGGGTTTCAAGCTTGAGCTTTGAGTTTTCACTAGTGGCGTTGCTGTTGTTGGTTTACGGCATGTAGTTGCTAGCTTCATATCCAGCCTTCCATCTCCTCCGGGCCTATTATCGATCAAGTTAGGTTTCAGGAGTTTCGATTGGGAATCTAATCATGACCGTGGGCGTGGTTGGCAAGCATTCTATTATTATTATTGTTCCCTTGGGTTCCTAGTGGAACATAAGGCTTCAACTACACGTCTCCTCTTGCTTCTGTCTTCTGCTGTACTTTTCACCTGCATCCATGTTAATCCATACTGTTGCAACTCCTCTTCACACGTTCTCCTCCATGTCACCCTTGGACGTCCCACTCGCCGCTTCCCTTTCGGGTTCCACTCGAGCTATGGCCTGACGCGCGATGTCACTCAGCGGCCTCCTCAGCGAGTGTCCAATCCATCTCAACTTTCTCCTGAATATTTGTTGGGTGGCGATTGGTTCTTGTTTTGTTTGTTCCCATAGTTCCTTGTTGGTGATTCTTTCCGGTCATCTGATCTTGAGTATAGAACGAAGACAGCTGTTGATAAAGGTCTGCAACCTATTGGAAATATTCTTTGTGACCCGCCAAGTTTCTGATCCATATAGAAGAACTGACTTGACATTAGTATTGAAAATCCGAATTTTGTTGTTGATGTCGGGTTACGAAGATTTCCAGATTGGTTTCAGGTTGATGAATGTGTTTCTCGCCTTCCCGATTCTCGATTTGACATCCTCGTCGGTTCCTCCTGTAGTTGAGACAATGCTCCCTAGATAAGTGAATGAAGTGACCTCTTTCAAATCCCTCCCGTTGATGGTGATTGGCGCTGGATGTTGCTGCTGCTGTTGTTGTTGTTGGTTGGTTATTTTCATAACCTCTGTCTTGTTCCATAATAGATAAGATTTTATTTTGATAAATCACACAGTGTAGTACAGTTATATTAACTGATGACGTTTCGAGCACAAACTATTGCTCATAATCATATCAAGTTGATATGATTATGAGCAATAGTTTGTGCTCGAAACGTCATCAGTTAATATAACTGTACTACACTGTGTGATTTATCAAAATAAAATCTTATCCATTACAGAATTATACTCTACCACAGTGCCCAAGTTTTATACTTATACCTCCGTCTTGTCTATGTTCACCTGGAGTCCTGTCTTTGCTGCTTCTTCGACCAATTTGTCGGTTTTCGCTTGTAAGTCTTCGATTTTGTGTGACATCAAACATAAATCATCTGCGAAATCCAGGTCTTCTAGGTTCTTCACGTCGGTCCAGGATATCCCTGTCTTCTCGTTTCCCACTGTCTGACGCATAATCCAGTCCACCACAATTAGGAATATCATTGGTGATAATAAGCACCCTTGTCTGACTCCTGTGTTTACTCCAAACGCTTCGCTGAGTTTTCCGTTGTGGATCACTTGACATGTGCCGTTGTCGTACAGTTGTTGAATAAGGTTGATGAATATTTGCGGTACGCCGTAGTACTCGAGTATTTTCCAAATTACTTCATGGTCAACGCTGTCGAAGGCCTTCTCGAAGTCTATCAATGATTAAAAGTGTAGCATTTCTAAGTACCTTTGTTAGCAATATAATTCATCAATATGCGAATTAGATTCATCATCTTGTGCAATAAGTAACAACATAAGTATACTTTTCTTTCGCATAGCATTCAAATCTCCCAACAATGAACTACCAGTCATCATCCGGTCGTGATTCTGCTCAATTAACTATAACAACAGTGAAATTCTGGCGTTTAGTTCGAGCTTTACGTGATTTTATTGAACAGGAAGGTGAAGGTCAATTGCCAGTACGTGGCAGCCTTCCAGATATGATATCTGATTCTCATCGTTACCTGAAATTGTTATCAATTTATCGAGAACGTTCAGAATGGGCAGTTGAACGTCTCGCTTCAAGATTAACGCAGGTGAGAAGTTATCAGAATTTGTTCATATGATTGTCATAATAATTTTCCTCCAAGTACCCAGTTCTCAGTTTCTTTTGCCTAGGTAATGGCAACTATTTGTTTAGTGTTGTCTTTGAAATTTTGCTTATTTCAAGGTATTAGCGGTTGACATAAATCTGAGAATAGTGTGGAAAAAGTGCAAAGAAAGTCTTATGGTTAGTGTTTGTTAGTATTACACTATTCATCTTTTTCAGTATGGATGTTACTTAGAGCAATTTTTTATCATGTAGACTGGGTTATACATAAGGAAAACCAAGTCTTATACAAATGAGTTCGGAATTGATGTTTCGTAGTTTGAGAACAATGACAAGAATCCCTAATCCTAGATTTCGTGTTTATTGACACGTCAATGAAGTCAGTCTACACTGTAGAAAAAGAACTCATGTCATGTAGAAGATTTGAACCTGTGTCATCCAGTGTCACAGACAGAGACATTAACACATATTTATTCAGGCTGACGATTGACCTCCTGTAAGGCTGTAAGTTTTAGTCACTATAGGAAGAAACTAATATCATGTATGTAATCCTTAATTTTGACGCTGTTTCAAGTTATAATCAGATATCATTTTAATAATAATAATTTGCTTTATTTCAGAAACAGTACTAGTGGTATAGTGTCGAATATTCAGCAAATATCTACAATATTTGCATCTAATTTTATCAAACATTTAAAAGAAGTATTTCAAAAAATAAATATAAAGACAACAACAAAAAAAAGCACAAAATAATTTTTTATTTTAAAAATGCGAAAAAAGTACCAAGAAGTAGAAAGGAGAATAAACAACATAAAATAATATCTCAATGTTGGGTAGTGGAAGCTATGATATGATTATGCATGGTGAACAGTAAAGCTACAGTCATACAAGAAGTTATGAAATGATATTTAAGAATGTTTATCGCCAAGTTGATCAGTTAATTTGGTTGAAACAAACACTGAACAATCATAAAATAACATTTCAGGGTTGTTTTTTTATTGTCAAGTCTAATGCAGTGTTTTTAGTGCATAATACAAAATTTTAAGATGGTCATAATGGCGTTCACAACCAAGATTGTCAGTTAATATTGCCGAACAACAAAAAAAACCCCACAAAAACTAATAATTACATGATGGTTAATGACAGGACAATTTTGTAATGCTCATAGTGCTAATATAGTCGAAACTAGTAGACACACAAAAGAACGAATAAAGTAAACAAAAAAGTAAGCCAATGTTAATAATTTAGGTACCTAAGTATGTTTAAGAAGTAATTCACTATATAATACAAAATAAGACAGAAATAAAAAATTCGCGAAATATACCCATTAAGACATTGAAATAAGAACAAATTAGTTCAGCGAAGAGTCTCTTTTCGGCGAATTCATTCACTTAGCTGTACAGTCGCAAATATATATGCAATTATTTTGTGTGTGTGTGTACATTAGGTTTGTCAAAATCACAATAACAGTTAGTGTGGGTTGTTGATTATATCATCAAAATAATGAAGAAGTTAACATGTGTGATTAATAATCAAAGTTGTAACTAAGTGGGGTGAAGATTGGTAAGATGTGAGTAGAGTTACATCATCAAAATAATGAAGAAGTTAACATGTGTGATTAATAATCAAAGTTGTAACTAAGTGGGGTGAAGATTGGTAAGATGTGAGTAGAGTTACATCATCAAAATAATGAAGAAGTTAACATGTGTGATTAATAATCAAAGTTGTAACTAAGTGGGGTGAAGATTGGTAAGATGTGAGTAGAGTTACATCATCAAAATAATGAAGAAGTTAACATGTGTGATTAATAATCAAAGTTGTAACTAAGTGGGGTGAAGATTGGTAAGATGTGAGTAGGGTTACGTAATATAGACATGTTTAGAAAGATTAGATGCTAGTGAAGGAGTTTGGAGACAATTATGAAAATAAACTAGATAATAGGTGAAAAGATTGAATGGGTTAGTTACTAAAATTGTTATACGAAAAATTGCAAAAATTTGATAACAAAATGTTGATGACAAATAAACTTGGAATTAAACCCACGGTAGTAGGAGGAGGTGGAGAAGTTTCTTCTGTGTGCATAACTCAGGCTTTTCCATCCAAATCTCTAAGGCTTCAGCAATACAAAGTATACGGAAGCTTGTCGATTTTGGAAGGCTTCTTTTGACTTTATAGATGACTTTGAACGACTTCTCCTTGCAAATCGAATGACCAGTGTTGAGTATATGCTCAATAATGGCGCTCCTTATTGCTCCGTTGTTACCTTTCCGTAGCCAGGCGGGATAGTGTTCTTGAACTCTTTTAGATAAAACACGCATCGAACGACCTATATACCTCGCTCCGCAAGAGCAGGTGAATTGGTAGATACACATAAAAAAGCCTAAAATGATGTTATTAACAACAAAGCAAGCCATAGGTTTCACGCTTAACATTGTCTCTATCACTTAGGACACGGGCCAAATATGGTATCGTTGAGTTCTTGTACTTGATTGTACGAGTATATATTATTTTGTACTGATTTATGGTTCTACCTAATGAGATACAAGGCGAGAGTTGGGGGGGGGGGTCGGAGAGTATGGTTTTAGACCATTTTTCACATATATTCAGATGCCTTTCAACTAATGTAGTGACAAGCTGACTGAGTTTTACGCCACTAGTCCTAATAACTACCTTCAACATCCTTCTCAGGATGGTATAGTCCTTTTTCAGTAGCTCAGGAAAGACTAACGGGGAGCAGTAAAGTAGAATAGGTAAGATACAAGAGTTGACAAATTGTGAAAGTAGAGGTTGGGTGATTCCAGATTGTCTAAGTTTCTTAATGTAGTAGGTTAGACAGAACACTTTCTTAGTAATCATTAGGATATGAGATGATGTACACGTATTTATGATTCCACATTTTATAAATAACTAATTCCATACTTACTTTTTATTGTTATATTTTAGTTTCCTGATATATCTATGGACGATATACGTCTTTTTGGTGAGTAGTGGGTTAAAATTTTTTTTCACTCTGTGTTATAGTGTTTTGTCTTACAGTGAAAGTGTAATGCATCCTTCTAAACAATGCGATTAAATAGGTTAGGCATCTTTGATTGAACACTAGTGTTATGTGTCTAGTCCTTGGTGTTGGCGCAGACTGAATTCTATCAGTGTGTGGCACTAGTTAACTAGTGTCCAATCAACGTATCCATTACAGTCCTACACAAGGTCAGTTGCGAGCCCGAATAGCTGAGTGGGAACGTCTCTGACCGCAGTACTGGGTAACACGGGTTCGAGTCTCAGAAGCGAAATGAGTTCCTTTAACGTTGCAGATATAAGCCTTGCTGACTGTTGAGTACCAGCAAGCACGAAAACTAAGTCGAAGACTTCCTATCGATTGCTTTCAACCATGTAATATCAACAATTCAAAGGTTAGGTATCTACCGTCATCTAACCCTTAAATGTGTACCGTCATTTGTATTTTTGACATTCATACCTTCTTTAGTTTATTGTAAAATGTGCACTTAATATAACCACTAAACTGTGCAAAGAAACTGAATTCCAGAGAGCAAGAAAACTACCAAAATATGTTAGTTATGTAAATTATTAGTTGATTCATTTTTGGACTTTCCCTTTGACTGATTGGACCGAAGTGCTCGGACCCGGTTGACATTTCAGCTCCGTGTGCGGATGCTTTGATGATGTCTGAAGATATAAGCTGAATTATTTTGGTGGATGGTTACTAGTAGTGGAAACCAGGGTGCGCATTTCGTCTTATTTTGGGACTCGTCATCTGGATGTACCCGCATTCTCCAGTGAGCAGTAGTATTTCCACTGAGGCTCAAACCCAGTACCCATGGTTCCAAACGCCAAAGCACTATTCAACAGACCACTTGGGCCATGAGAACCACCTCTTCTGCAAAGGGTATCAGTTATTGTTCAGTTCATTGTGGACTTTCCCGTACAAGGAGTTGACATGTCAACAGAGGTCGAGCACTTCGGTCCAAAAAGGAATAAACTAATTTAAATAACTAACATATTTTGGTAGTTTTCTTGCTCTCTGGAATTCAGTTTCTTTGCATAGTTTAGGGGTTATATTAAGTGCACATTTTACAATAAACTAAAGAAGGTATGAATGTCAAAAATACAAATGACGGTACACATTTAAGGGTTAGATGACGGTAGAGTGTGTTGAATACTATGCTTTCTCTTGAATTATTTATTTTTCACAAACACCTAACCTTTGAATTGTTGATATTACATGGTTGGAGGCAATCGGAAGGAGGCCGTTGGAAATATCACACATTCGTTTATGCTACAATAAGGTATCCTTCTATCATAAAATTAAATAACATAACCTATTACAAGTGTTAAAGAAATCAACCGTAAAAACGAAAGAAAAAAGCGTAGGAAGGTTAAGAATCAAAACTGCGTAAAATAACAAATAATTTTTGAGTATTTATTGTTACTAGTCGTATTATTATTAATTAATATTCCCTTGGATATTGAATGGAACATTGGACTTCAACAGAACATCTCCATTTCACCCTGTTCTCTGCGGTTCTGTTTAGTTGGCACCGCCATTGCCCATAAACTCTCATCCCTTCTTCACACGATTTCCTCCACTTCACCCAAGGACCCAGGTCTAGCTCGTTATCTTCTGTTCTAGTTCTAATTGAGAGCCATGGCCATGATGTGTCACTCGATGGTCTCCTCAACATGTGTTCGGTCCGTCTCCATTTCCTTCGGCATATGTTTTTGTTGGGCAATGGGTTCTTCGTTGGTTCTTTTCCAGAGTTCATTGTTGCTTTTATCTTCTGGCTGGTGATCTGATCTTCAGTACAGAACCAGTGAAGGCAGTTGTTGATAAAAGTCTGAAGCTTGTTGGAAGAGCTTTCGGTAACACACTGAGTCTCCGAACGATATAGAAACATTGACTGACTTGAAATAAGTGTTGAAAATATGGATCTTGCTCTTTATTTTATGGAATGCAGAAGATTTCGAAACTGATTTCTGAGTAATAAATCTCTTTCTCGCCTTTTCGATCTTAATTTTGACATCCTCACCCATGGGGTCTATCTGTAGCTGAAACGATGCTGCCTAGATAATTGAAAGAAGTGACTTCCTCCAGTAGTAACTGATACTTGTTGTTGTTGTTAGTTAGTTAACTATCTTCTTCAGCTCTGTCTTCTCTACGTCTGCTTGAAGTGCTGTCTTCCCAGCTACTCCGTCCAAATTGTTGGTTTTCTCTTGTAGATCTCTTTAATAATAATAATAATAATTTTTAGTTGGTAGCTGTAATATGATAATCTCTGTGCTATATCATGTGGCCATTGCTTTAATCTTGTTTCTTATCCACCTCAACTTAAGCCGAGAAGCAGCATTCTAAACTAACCAACCCCTTAGCTTCTTAATCTTATAATTGACCATTATAGTTTTATTAAATTGTATTATTGAATATTACTGATCAACCTATTGACTGGTATTAGAGTAGTACTGTTTTATAAATTCATATTAATCAAATTGCGAACGAGAAGAAAGGAATACATTGGACTGATAAAAAGACTTTAGGAGGTCTGGACTTAACGAACGATTTATGTGTCGAATGGCACACAAACTCGAAGATTTACAAGCAAAAACCAACAAGTTGACAGAAGAAGCAACAAAGTCAAAACTTCAAGGGAACATAGAGAAAACGGAGGTGATAAAGATAACCAGCCAACAACAACAACAGCAGGCACCAACCACTGTCAACACAAGAAATTTGAAAGGGGTCACTTCCCCCAGTTATCTAGGCAGCATCGTCTTAACTACAGGCGGAACAAATGACGAAGTCAAAGGCGGGATTGGAAGGTCAAGACAGATCTTCATTAATCCGAAGTTAGTTTAGAAATCTTCGGATTTTCAGTATCAGTGTTGAGTTACTCATTACTTTTCTATGGTTCAGAGACTTGGCTTGCGTGTCACTGAAGTCATTTCCAACAGGCTTCATACTTTTATCAACAGTTGCCTGACGTCGCTTGTTACTGAAGATCAGATGGCCAGCCAGAAACGATTTACAACAAAGAACTGTAGAAGTGAACCAACCAAGAGCCTGTAACCCAGCATATGTACTGGAGAAAATGGAGATTGATTGGACACACGTTGGAGGGACTATTGAGTGCCATCGCGCGTCAGGTAGACCGCCGAGTGGAGCGCGAATCAGGAATGACGAGTTAAGCGTCCGAGGTTAATATGGAGGAAATCGTGTGAGGTGGAGATGAAAGCTTTAGGCCAATCGTGTCGCAGACTAAAAAGAAATGCAGATAACAGGACGAAATGGAGATGTGGTAGTGAAGCCCTATATCTCACTCAGAACCCAAGGGAATAATAATAATAATCAGACCAGGTTATTGTTTTTCTTTAAATGAGTTGTTACACTCATAATAGATAGGTAGTATTTGTTGTGTAGTCTGCTATAGATATGTTTTTATTTGATTTCTAACGCCATCTGACTTACATTATGGCTTCTTTTTTTGTAATTGTTGCCAGTGAAAAATGCAAGCTTTCTAACTGTTATTCGTTGTCGATCATTAGAAGAAGAAATGAAACTTTCACCAGCACGTTCAGATGATCTTAGTAAGTTTGTACTTTGTTCGTTTTTCTTCTTATAACTACATATCACCCTGTCATTATTATTTTTCTTTGTCTGAAGCTTATCTTCTTATAAGAATTTTATTATATCAAGATATTCAGATATTCTATCATTTTTAAAACATTACCAACTGAGATTCAAGTGGTTTAAACTGACTGCGCTCTCTAAGTTAAATGTATCCGGGTTCCCCGGTGCATTTAACTAAGTGCATATTTTGAATTAAAGTTCCACAAAATATAAATATACATTAATTTGAATTTCGGGGAAATTTTTATTCCTCGAAGAAGATTTCTTAACGACGACGAGCTTTATTTGAGAAAAGAAAGAAGAAGAATTCGAAAAGACTTCAGTAATAAGTAATATCCATTAATTATTTAGGCTTTTAGGTTTGTTCACTGATCAATATTGGTTGGAGGACCATTGTAATCGAGGGACTACTTGACAGCTCTTTCGTCCTAGTCTGTCACTCTTCAGCAATACGTACCCATGACCCCACCGGGGGTCGAACCCAGGATCTTCTGTTTAGGAGGTGAACCTGTTCGTCAGTTAACCTCTGGGACAGAATACAATGGCCCATCAATTCTCGCGATTCGGGCGCAACCACCAGTTAATGTCATCGGCGAGTATTCATCCTTATACCCGAACTGGTGAACACCACTGATGATAACTTCTTACTAGAACTCTAGGAAACTGCGTTCCTTAGTCAGTCACTGGTGAACATCAGATTTATTTAGTAGAGATCTGATTCGTTTCAAATTTGCTGTAAATGACTTGTTCAACAAACTTTAAAGTCTGTTTAAAGTGACTTATTTTCCCCATATACTACTGGGATATCTGAAGTTAACAGGATTTTGTTCACTCTGCTTGCGCATCGGCGGTTCAACAGCAGAATGCTTGCCAAGCATACACTTGGTTCTGGTTTGATTCTCGGCCAATGCACTCCTAAACCTGACTGGTAGTAAGCCCAGAAGAGAGGGAGAGTTGGACATGAGTCTAACAACATCACTGCTACTGGAACTTGAAAGTTAGAACTTAAAGCCGTATATTACACTCGGAATGCAACAAAAATTTACTCTGTTTATAAAAAATGTATGTCTTTCAATCGAAATACTTTTTTTGTTATTTTTACTATTTCATAGCATTAATACCAACACACGAAGAGAATGACGCCATGCTATGGTATCTGGTACTTCGTGGTGCTTGTAGTTTTCTAATGGAGAATGGACGTTGGCCTGGTTGTTTACAGTCGTATGTTACACCATATAAAGTGATGCATAATAATCAAAGCTCAAATTCGCTGGTTCATGCTACAGTTTCTTCAACTGGAGAGAGTCTGTGTCCATCTGAGGATTCTTTTAATTCTGATACTGACAATATCATTGAATCAGATTTACCCATTTTACGAATTCACTTGAATCGTTTACTTCGATCGTTTGGAATCGCTTCGAATCGTGTCAGTAGTGAATATGTAGAGGTAAGATATTTGTTGACGCGATTCAATTGACTAATTAGTGTTATATGTTGAAGTCTTCTGTGCTGGCTTTTCAACTATTGATATATGTAGAAAATGTGACTACTGAACTAAGTATAGTGATTTTAGTGTGGTATACGTCAAGTGTTGCCGTGTAGTCAGACATTTTCAATATAGGTGCACAAATGGAGTTTGCACATTTCGTATCAGCACACCATTTACAAGTTAGTGAAAGCGAAGATAAATAAACTGATGAAAATTATGCAGTCAAAGGTTGAAGAATTCTCGATATTTATCAACTATAATGTGATTCGTCCTGGATCCCACTACTAGCTACTACTAGTTGTATAATCGAAGTGTATATGCTCACAAAAGATGATCCATTCAGAATCTCCTATACACACCAACAACGAGGAGATTAAAATATGAGAAATACCCGTGTAACATGTGAACTAAAAAGACATAGATCAGCAAAGAATATTCTTTTTCGTAACTTCACTTCGAAGCTCTACAGTGTTGTGAAATTACCTGTAAGGTCAAATTGATCATATCAGTCGATGAGAAAATATGAAAATGCATGTGAAGGGAAAGTAATAAATTACGTAATCTAAAGGGGGTTAAATGATGAGTGTCGCTCAGAAATGATTGCCATTAAAAATTACAAACGCTTGGAAACATGAACATTAGTCAAACGAGTAAGATTCAGAATATTTTAGGAATTTAAAAGGTAGAAATAAGACGAAGATAAAAACCGAATGAATACGGATCACTTGTCAAGTTTTTGTAAGAGTTAAAGAAAGGGAATTCTAAGACCACGGTGTAGCGAAAGGGATCGAAAAAACCGTTTCTGTATACACAGGTCAGGATTTTCGCTGTGTATAACAAGAGCCTCTTCTTTGAAGAGAATTTTTAACTAGAAATCCTTCTAACAACTTTTGCTTCAAATTAAAGAATTTCTTAATCGTTGAGGTATGATTTAGCGTCGGTAGTAGAATACTTGCCAACCACTTAAGTGGTCTAGGGTTCGATCCCCGGCCAGCGCAATTCTAAACCTCACTTAACCGATAGCAAGCCCTGTAGAGAGGGAAGGTTGGGTGTGAGGCTAGCAACTTCATCCCACAACTACTGAAATTTCAAAGGTCTAGTTTGAAGCCCTGTGCTCCACTGGGAACGCAAAGGAATAAAAATAAAATTTTAAAAAATGGTGTGGTATGATTTGTAAGAACAAGGTGCTCATAAATTGAACTATTACTTCGTCTTATGTTTCTTTTCGACAACCATATTGGGAGACTTTATTGTGCGTGTCTAAACAGTATCCTAATGATATGACCTATGTATTTGGCTGCACAGGAATGTTGTCAACATTGAAGTATTGTCTTTGACATTTTGTGTGATGAATTACACAATTTATTGCTTTACATTGACATGTATTTTCATGTTTTCTTACCGACTAATATGAACAGTTTGACCTTATGTGGTGATTCCCTCAAGTCTCACAGGACTATATAGCTGTAGAGCTTTGAAGTGAAGTTACGAAAAGAATATTGTTTGCTGATGTGTATACCTCTTAGGAGGATAAAATATTCCCTTAGTATAGTAGCATCCATTGAAGATACATGACTGTTGTAACTCCATAGCCTCGTGGATAGTGCTAGTCTCTCTCTCTCTACTGATAGAATTCAGTCTGCACCAAATAGAGGACAAAACACATTACACTAGTTACTGACTAGTGTCCGATCAAAACTGTCTATTACAGTCCTACAGGGGGCCAGTCGAGAGCCCGAATAGCTCAGTGGTAACGTCTCTGACTGCATCACTAGGAGGCATGGATTTGAGTCTCAGAAGGGACATAAGATCCTTTAACTTTGCAGATATGCGCCTTGGTAACTGTTGAGTGCCAGCTAACACGAAACCTAGGTCCAAGGCTTCCTTCCGATTGCCTACAACCATCTGATATAGATATCGTGTTAAATACTTGGTAAGAATTGCAATTGGAGAGTCGAAATCAAAACAAAACATATATGTTCCAGATCCCATTGCTATCCACTATCTAATATAAAACAAAAAGTTTGGGATGACGGATCAAATGGATATACGATATTCATAAACCTATACCACTGCCGTTCGGTTTCACCTGTAATATACCTACACTTTGAGTCACAGAATTAGTTTACACATTAATAAACTTACTGCCTAGTTATGAAACGACAAGGTGGTGATAGCAAGTTTCATTCTTAACATTATTATTTTGTTAATGTTGTGAGCTATTTAAGTAGTATTGTCACGGATCAAAACTACACCATGGATACTTCAAGGCAGTTAAATGCCGTCTGGGTTGGGAATAAAAACAATTTATGAATTAAATGGGGAACGGAATCCCTTCTGTCCAGTAAATTTATGACAGAATAGTTGATTATAAGCATGATTGATTATTATTATTCCACATATATTAGTATTGTATGGCCTTTTGAACAGGTTGACAGGATTCCAGTAGAGTTTCGACTGACATGCACATGGTGAATCTGTCAATCAACTAAAAATCAATCTGTAAAGCAAAATAGATAGTGATCATTGTATTCTGTCAGTATTTAGTGTGTTGTGCATCACTATTTTAACTAACTCATTGAGTTTGCCAAAAAGTGGAGTAGTCTCCAAGTTGCTACACTTCAAAAAAGTGCAGACAAAAATGAAGTAAAACTATGCAATCTAGGAGATTTCAAGTCAGGTCATTTTAATTGACCAGAATTAGAGAATGGCTGAAAATCGAGGAGTGTATTGAACAGCGGTTTCGTCGTTGGAAACCATATACAATTGATGTATCTGCTCTACTGGAAACGTACTTTTTTAGCCATTTTACCAACAGTCTCCAGCTATTTTTGGTTTTTAGTGTCCACATTCACACATGTATACGAATACTATTTTTGATTAAAAATTAATAACTATGATATTTGATCATCTGTGCCTACTACTACGGTCGAAGGTGGCGAGTAGACTTATAACAGAATCTATATTCATTAAGGTCACACCGGATACATGTTACAAGGGTGACTCAGCACAACTGTCAACAACGTGCGTCGGTGGCACAGTGGTTAGGACTCCCGCCGACCATGCACATGGTCCGGGGTTCGATCCCCTGCCGGCGCACAACCGATATCTATGGTCGGCCTGTAAATTTGGGCTACCGATATCCATGCTGAAAATTCCATACTTGTACTGAAAATACGGTGTGGAATCAAGCTGTAATCAAAATAAAATAAGAAAAATAAAATAAATAATAATTCTGAATACACAAAAATGAATGCACTATGTATATGAGTACAAATCATAAATGTGTGAATTAAAAACCAAAACAATTCCAACAGTGGTGTGAACACGGGTAGTAATTTTGCTCTAAATATTACCGATAACAAAACTTATCATTGTGTGTAAACCATTGAAATATAATTATACCATATTTGGCATATGTGAACCTGTTTTGATCGCGGGAAACCCTGACGTTGCTTCACTGACTTGTAGGTTTGACTTCAAATTAAAGGCTGGGAGGGGTCACCTCTCAAGGCAACCGCCCGCTTCGTTCTTAGCGTCCAGACAGAGAATTCTAGCCCTCTCACAAACTATGAAATTTTGAGTGGCGCATATCTTGGTTTCCATAATGTATCCAATTTGTGTTTTAATAATAATGAACATCTCTGTTAATCGTCTTATTTGGTGAAGAATAAAACTAAAATACTAGCGCTATTCTTGGTAGTATTTATGCAGAATGATTACTTCAGTATTTAATGAATATGTAGTAAAAACGTTTATCGTTATTTTTTTCTTTTTGTTTAATGTGTAATTCTTATAGGAATTATGTCGTTTCGGTGGTGGTGAACTGCACTCAGTGGTTGCATTTATGGGTGGAGTTGTAGCACAAGAAGTAATCAAATTGCTTACACACCAGTTCATTCCTATATCGAAACCAATGATTTACAATGCTATCCAACAAAAAGTGGAACTGTTAGATTTTTAATTGTTAGAAGAAAAAAAACAACCCGCGTTTCCTTTTCTGTTTTATAATGTTGTGTATATTATAATGATAATGCACTTCTCTTTTTTTGCTCTCTCTCCATTTTATGCATCATTCTATTTGTATTTCTTTTTTATCATTTGATGTTTTCTAATAAAACACAACACTGAGAGATAAATTTCCCTATAACTTAGGGAGTTCTCACCGTAGAACTTTGCATTAGAACGTAAACATTTATGGCCAAAGTCAGCTAGTCTCTTTTATCAACAATTCCTCAGAGCTGTAAAGAAAAACGAAGCGTTGTACACACCCTTTGATCGATATCTGTATATCACGTCTGCGTCTGCAAACGAGATGAGATTTCGTTAGCAATCAGCCCACTAGATCTGCTGCAACTTTCTAACGCTTAAATACTCACCCCCCCCTCATCTTCAAACTAAGAGTCCAGAGACTAATTGCATGCCAAACATACCAAGACTTCTGCTCGAGGTATTCAGAAGACTGTGCATTTTGTCGGCGTCTTCACACAGAAGCACAATATCATCCGCATACTGTGGTAACAAGTCAGTCGGAAATTCTATGAGAGTTACATCCATTAGCGTATCTATGATGAAACTAAACAAAAATGAAGACATTGGGTATGCCTGATGGACACCACTGGTTATTATCACTTCAGATGACAACTCTGCAAAAGCTCTAACACTGCTGAGTGAGTTGGAATAAAGTGCGATACACTTTCTTGGCACTCCACAGCCAAACCTTACCACACAGTCCCTCAGTCGATAAAGTCAAATATGGATTTCACATCAACATATGGCAGTTGTTGGGCGCCGGTAAGTGTGGCGAGATTGCTGAGTCTGTTGAAGGATGAATATGTGATCAATACACCCTCTTCCCGGTCTAAAGTCCGCCTGATAATAATGGCTTTGTTTCTTCCGAGTATCGCTCAGCCTGTTTTATGATTACTTAACTTAGGATTTTCGATGTTGTATTACTCTAGCTAGTCCCTTCTTGGTTATCATAGGAAGTCTTGTCCCTCTTCTTATAATCCGGGATAATCGATGGTTTAAACCACTCCAAGGGGACTATTTGGGAACCTCATAGCACTTCATCACCACCATCCTTAAGTAATTCTGAAGTCACTTCGTTAAATACCGCAGATTAGAGACTGCTTTCGTGACCTCAATTACAGTTGGAGAACCGATGTCTGCATCACACACGTGTAGGTTTTGGGTGCCAAGCAAATTTAGTGTGAGGTGTAGACTAGTTGGATTGCCCCACAAGTGTGTCGTCAAACTTTCCATTCGTCTATCCTGAGAGGTAATAAAAGTACTATTCTTCTCGGAAATTTTTCCGCTTATCACTGGTTATCTACAACCCGTTTCTCTAATAAGTCTGAATAGTTGTCTGATTTTGACCTGTCCCTACCTCTTTGGCTTTTGTCGCCTACCACTGTTCACGATCGTTGCGGAGGCTTGTAGTCAGCTTGCATTTGTGCAACTTTAGTTTTTTGTCATGTTCGGAGCCAACCGGGAACCAGTCTTCTTGCATCTGTCAGATCGGTCGAAGCAGCAGACATCTACTGGCACTATCTAACTTTTTGGTTTCATGTTATCAGCAGCCTTTACCAATGTCTCTACAGCTGACTGGATATTATGCCAAGCTTCCTCAGGATGTGTCTGGCTAAAAATCTTAGATGCATGTTCAGTTACTTTTTCAATAGATAAAGATATTTTATTCCAGTCGATTTTGAAAGCTAGTAGGCTTCATAACTGCCTGTATTGTGTATCTCTTCGGTCATAGACATCATTTTATATTAATTCCTGTTTGAACAGAACTATTACGAAACCTTTAATAATATTAACTCAGTCGAAGGATCATTGAAATACGTTTATTCATTCATTCATTTCTTGGTACAAATAAACTAATGATAAAAAATTATAATAGAATAAACTTAACAAATATAATTTCTTTAGTTGAATAATTTACAAGATCAAGATATAAAATTATTTCATTCATGAGGTTTAGCTGTCAATAGTAAATCGACTTCTTCTAATGGTGTTCGTAATCGTAATTCACGTTCCGACAGTAAGTCGACTACCTCTTCAACATCCTCCGGACAATAACGAACTAAATCTGTATAAAGAACCTGCAGAAGAAAAAAAGCAAATAAACAAGACGTAATAACTAACAGACTCAGTCAGGGTAATACAGAATAATGCAACAGCCAACTGTATGTTAATAATTGAGGGCAAGATACGAATGAATGAAACTTTACTATAATGGAGAAGATTTGTAGCTCAGGTGGATGATTTTGATGTGGTTGTGATCTCTGAGCTGGATAGTTTATTTGTGAAGCTTTCATTGCAGCGACTCACTGTGGATTGTCAATCAATAGACACAGTGACATAGACAAAATTGGTTGGAGGATTTCATGAGCTGACATCAGATAGAGAACCATTGGGAAACCTGGGAGGACTGAACTTGAAAATAGACAAAATTTATCGATCGATAAGGAAATATCTCACACACCGGCTAGAAAACAAGCGAGCTAGTAAACCTGAAACCAGTTTGGAAATCTTCTGTACTCAGCCAGCATAAAGTACAAGATTCGGATTTTCACCAGAAATGTGAAATCAGTCAGTTCTATACGGGTCGGAAACTTGCACTGTGTGTCACGAGAAGGATTTCCAACAAGTTACAAACTTTTATCAACAGCTCCCTTCGCTGGCTGCATACTGAAGATTAAATGGTTGGTTAGAAACAATTAGCTACAAGAAACTCTGGCAACAAACCAACCAAGAGTGGATTGCTCAATAAATGTGTAGAAGGAACTGGATATGGGTAGGGGATACATTGAAGAGGCCGTCGAATGGCATTGCGCGCCTGGCCATCGCTCGAGAGGAATCCCAATGGGAAGCGACGATTAGATCGTCCTACGGTGACACGGAGGAGATGGGAGATTATGGTCAATCGTGAGCCCAGTTGAAGAGGACAGCAGAAAATAGAACAAAGCGGAGATGTGTTGTTGAAGCCGTATGTTCCACTCAGAACCCAAGGGAATAACAATGATAATAATAAAACAATAGGTCATTACTTATCAGTAGGCAATACTCAAACTGGTAGTTATTTCTTCCACAGTTAATCTTAAATAGTTTAGGATATACCTACTATCCATTAGAATTTCGTAATTTTATTACTAGTGCACAAGTGGACAAAAATTACAAAATGTAAACCACTGAAGATGAAGAATGTAATAGTGATAAATATTGATTGCTTAAGTTGTTAATGTCCTAGTAGTTGCATTACTTTTCAGGTTCGAATTTTTCCTAGACAAAGTTGTCGATATTATCCTAGGTGTCATCTTCTGTGCTGCTTTATTACAAGTTAGTTCTTTTGTCTATTCCTTTGTGTTCCGAGTGAAGCGCGTACAGCTTCAAGCTTGAGCTTTGGAGTTTATTTCATGGAAAATTCCCATTCGAACATTAATAGACAGAAGACAAGTAGTTCAGCGAAGAGTCTCTTTTCGGCGAATTCATTTTCATAGCTGTACAATCGCAAATATATATGGTTGTTTTGTATGTGTGTGTACATTAAATTTGTCAAACGAAATTACAATTATTAAGTTCAGGTGAATTCAGTGTTGATATAAGAGGGTAGTAACAAAAGTGATGAGTTGTCACAAAAGATTGTTAAAGAAGAGTTACGTAATAACATGAATAGTTTAATGAAAGAGTTGTACTCAGGGTGTACATGTAAACAAAATATACGGAATAACAAAAGGGTTTTAAGTAGAAAAATAAGCATACAAACAAAAGTGAAGTTAAATCAAACAAAGAAAAGTTAAGTCAAATCAAAACAGTTGTTACCTTGGGAGTAGAAGTGGTTGAATAATTTTCTTTTGTATGCACAGTTCTGGTTCCTCTAGCTTAGTGGCTAGGGCTTCTGCGATGCAAAGAAGACGGAATCGTACTGTCTTTGGAAGGTTGTTCTTCACTTTGTAGATTACTTTGAAGGAGGAGTTTGTTAAGATGGAATGACCAGTGTCGACGAGGTGTTCTATTATTGCACTCCTTATGCAGTCATTACTTCCTTTCTGCAACCCGAAGAACCTCCATCAGGAAGTTTACAATTCCCTGCATGGCTTGGACTAAACTAACTGTTGTGGATTTCATGAACTTATACCAAGTTTTGGTTTAGTTACCACTAACTCTTTTCCAATGTGATCCTAGGTCACCTAACATAGACCGTCAAGGAAGGTGATAGCTAGTCATGCGTAACATTTGTTCTAGCCATCTCAATCGAACATAGCTTAACAACCTCGTCGATTGACTTTCCCTACTTACTTAGCATTCGACCGATGCCTAACCTCAATATTACTCGTCCTATAATACCACCTAACACGGGAGATAGAAAACAAATAAAGACAGCTAGTCTTTTCATGTCTTCTACTTTCAATGGCCATGTCTCACAACCATAAAGGAGGATAGGGTGAACACAATTGATACATACATAGTTATATGTAACTGCGTGTAGTGCTATAAGCTGAGCTTTTTTCTTATGAATTCCTTACTTTATTAGGGTCAACTGATCAACATTTCGCTAAATTTTTGTGTTCCGCTAGTCTAATTGACCCCACCCAATCAGTTTGATCTGTGTATTTGACCTCACAACCATTGTAGTGTAACAGATGAACCAAATTATTTTGCTGAATGGGCTACACAAGGGCATTATGAGGAGAAGCGATAAGAAGTTCGCTGAATATATATAACAAAATAAAAACAACATATTAAAGGTTACACTACTGGTCAAAAAACCTCATAGCGCTACCGTACTCTTTCAATCTTATGACTAGGAGATTTTAAACACCGAGACAGAAGGAAAAAAATCAATCTCAATTACTTACTTTAGCCCATGGAACATCTTCAATAGCACGATAGAAAACAGCTTTCACAGCTTGACGTCGTTGACGAGGATCCAAATTGTTTGCTATCACTGTCGTAGATGTTGTAGATGGTCCAGCCATCCAACCAAATGCCATATACGCTCTCCATATAACTAAGCGTAAATGTGCAGACCAAAATGATGGTGTACCTGCACTCAGTGCTACATGAATTAGATTCCCTTCAGTAGATAGAAGAGGAGTAATGAATGGACTGGTATGTACAACTTTTTCGAATGCATTGCGAACTCGCTGGTCAGTAACAGATGCCCTTTCTGCTCCAGAAATAAAAGAGATGCAACCGAAATGTATCGAAATAAAGTTAGACATTTAAATGATTATATAAGCGCACTTTAACATAACTCAAATGAAAAATTTATTTCAAAATTTCAACGATCGAATCAACAAAATAAAGTGAAACACATGAAGTTAAATTAAGTGATCAAGAAAAGTGCTTCTCAGTGGCTTTCTTCAGTTCATAGAATAACTAGAAACCGGACAGTATAATACAGTCGCTAGAGATCATATTTTTTTTTAAAAATCTCAGCACGGATCCAAAAAGCTCAGGCTGCTTTCGCTAACTTACACCGTCTCTGGCGTAGGCGTGACATCCGACTATCAACCAAGCGACGTGCGTACTGCTCAGCAGTTCGCTCCGTCCTTCTCGGTGGCTCTGAAACATGGCCAATACGAGTTGAAGACATGAAAAGGTTGACTGTTTTTGATCATAGATGTTTACGATCTCTTTCTCACGTTAGGTGGTATAATAAGGTAAGTAATGTTGACGTTAGGCGTAGTGTTGGGCAAAGAGGGAAAATCAATCGAAGAGGCTATCAAGTTACAAAGATTGAGATGGTTAGGTCACGTGCTGCACATGCCTAACCATCGCCTCCCCCAACGGGCATTACTAGCTCATATAGGTGCAGGTTGGAAAAGAGTAAGTGGTGACGAAACAAAAACATGGCATCAATCCATGAAATCCCTGACAGTTAAACTGAGTCAGGTAGGGAGATGCAGACTTCCGGGTTGGGGCCCTCGGGACTCTAAGAATCAATGGCTGGAGACAATAGGCGACATGGCTCAAAATCGTTGTCAATGGCTTACGCAGATGCATTCAGTCTCTGTAATCTTTCATATTCCTTTCTACCATTACTCATTCTGTTTCACTCTTATACTTGTCAAAACTCTATTGATTCTCTTCACTCACGCCTTCTTGTCTACCTTTGTGTGCTATTTGGAACGTGGCAACTCTAACTGCTGCACTTGGGTGCCAAGTTCTATGTTGAATCCAGCCAGTCAGCCAGAGATCATATTTTAGCAGAGTCACATCAGCGTTGCTAGCTAAAATACTCCATATAGGATAAAGCCTGGAACCATCAGGTCCCCTAGCAAATTGTCATTCAGAAAATGAGTTAGAATTAATATCTGGTTTCATTCGATCAATGTCAATTTGTGATGTATTGATTGGGTGGCGAGCAATTTGAGTGAATATTTACACTCCGAAGTGTGTGAGATAAAATATTCCCTGCTTTTTACTCCTTTAAGTTCCGGATGGAACATAGGGCTCCAAGCTTCAGCTTTTCGGTTTCAATACCAGTGGTGTCACCGGGTGGGGTCGCTAACCTCACACCCAGCCTCCCCTCTTTACCAGGCTTACAACCGACTAAGAAAGGTTTAGGAGTGCGTGGTCCTGTGATCGAACTCCGGACCACAGGCGTGGTTGGAGAGCATTCTAACACAGAACCACCGACACACTCCAGTAGAAAGCTATATTTCTATAAGATATTACTGAAGTGACCAGTAATATAGTGAATTTTGGTTAAATATCCGAATTTCCCAAATTCACAGGCGACACACTTCCAATGGTTCTCTAACCGATGTCAACTCATGATGAAATCCTGGAACCAATCAATCGAATTCCTACAAACCGATACTTGAATATAATGTCATTTTATATCCGTTTACTTAGATCCTTCGTTTAGGTCACTAATGTTTAGAGTTTCTGCCAATTAAAAATACAATTGAGTACCTTTGCCGACCCACGGACAAAACACAGAAATAGAGGGACTTTTTATGTATTGTGGGGGTTGGGAATCGGGGGAGCCTAGTGATTCAAGCAAACCACGGTGAATAGGCTGGGATTCTGTGGTCTGCTGCTTACTGAAAGTTGCAAGGTCCAAGAACCAAAAAGTCAAATTTTATGATGTTTCGCAACTTAGTTTTGAATCCACTACACAACAACAACAACAACAACGAAAACCAATGGAGAATACAGTATTTTTTATAAATAAAAAATCCATCTACCTTGACCATATTCACAGGAAACGCCAGCAATTAAACTTGTCCATCGTTCCAATTCTAAACTTAATGTGAATAAATCAAGAATACTCGGCAGACAAGCAGAACACAACTCCAATTGATGACCAATTAAACCATTGACTTCTTCATTCATTATCATTCCATAGGATGATAGTTTTGCAATGCTTTCTTTTTGTCGATTTGTGTTTGTCCGGGATGAATTGTTGATTGTCTGTTGAATAATTGACTGGGCGGCTAACTTGGCTACACTTTGTCTTACATGATTCAGTTGATGAATTAAAGAAGCCAGGAACAACGGTGGCAGTAAACCATGACATGAAGAGGCATTCACTAAGGATAATGGTAACTTCCTGTGTTTTAATAATAATAATTTTAAAAAAATACATGTTACAATGAATTTAAATAGATGTGATTCAGATATATATAATATAATTGTATTAGTAACACTTGAGCACATTTATACTTCATGATAATTTCGCTTGCGAAATAATTCCGCGCAGTCTGAGTACAGGAAGGCTAGAGAGCAAGTGACAGATATGTTGGGACTCCGTAGGTAGAACAATATCTATTCCCAATATATGGAAAATTTCAATAAAAAAAAACAGCAGGAGGTAAGGCTATATAAAGCAAGTTAGGAATTCCTGTGAATACACTGATAGTGATTATGAGTAATAAATTGTGCTTCAGAACACAAAGAGAGACACTGTCTAACCCGGTGACCTCTACTGTGCAGCAGTTCGTTCCGTCCTCCTTTATGGCTGTGAGACATGGCCATTGAAAGTGGAAGACATTAAAAGGGTTAACCGTCTTTCATCACAGGTGTCTGCGTTCTATCGCTACGTGTTAGGTGGTATAAGAGGGCGAGTAATATTGAAGTTAGTTATAAAGTGTTAGATAAAAAGGGAAGGTCAATTGGTGAGATTGTGGAGCTACGTTCGATTGAGATGGCTAGGACAAGTGTTACGCATGCCTAGCTATCGCCTTCTTTGACGGTCTATGTTAGCTTGCCAAGGATTGGGTTGGAAAAGAGTTAGTGTTACTTAAACCATGAAATCTTAGACAGTCAGTTTTAAATACGCAGGGAAGTGTAGACTTCCTGGTTGGGGTCCTCGGGATAGTAAGAATCAATGAAAGCGGGAGACAATTGGTGATATGGCTCAAAATCGTTCTCAATGGTGCAGCAGAGGCGTTCGTCCCGTGTGGTCTCCTATATCTATTAAACCCTAATGTTTTTTCATGTTACTATTTTTTTCTCTCTTAGTTTTGTTTTTATTGTAGCTCTTATGAATCCCTTTTCATGCCTATATTTGCTACATGGAGTGTGGAAATTTGAACTGCTGCACTTCTGTCCTGAGTTCTAAGTTGAAACTCCAAATGTCATCCAATTGTCAATACTGCATCACTGTGTGATACATCAAATATGAAATAATACTCTATCAAATTCTACTGTCAAATGAATAGAACCTTGAGATAACTTGTCTGAATCAGGCACGTCACCAACATTTGGCTAGTAACTTTTTATAATTTTATTTTTCTTTCTTCTCACTCTTGTACTTCTACTCCTTATGACACTGATCTTGACTCAAATTCCTTTCTTTGAATTTTACTTTACATCATTACTCAGTCTTGTCAATTAAGTTACGTCAGTCTTTTTGATATTCCTTTACGTTCCCAGTAGAACATAGGGCTTCAAACTCCAGGCTCGAAGTGTCCGTATCAGTGGTGTTTATGTGTTAAAGGATGGGGTTGCTAGCCTCATGCCCAACCTTCCCTCTTTACCAGCCTTATTACTGGCTTAGCGAGGTAAAGGAGCGCATCGGCTGGGGATCGAACTCCGGACCACATGCGTGGTCAGAGGGCTTTCAACCGCTGTGCCACCGACGCACAGTCACATCAGTCAGTTTTACTTAATTCTGCTTTAGTCTCTACGTGATTAATGTCTCCTTATTACGTGATTTACAATTTCTTCTTATCCGAAACTCGGAATTTTAATGACACATCTTTAGAAACATTCGTTTTGTTACAATGAAAGTGTTTTATAGACATATGTGTCATTGTACAGGCTGAAAATGACACCACTCTAAAAGCATAAATTTTCGGTGAACGTGCCTTCATTTAGATGATTTATGACTGGGATACCTAACATAATTAAACGGAGTTTTTTGCTTAAAATTTACTCCAACAAAACTTCATTTTCATCATGAGCTGACATTAGTTAGAGAACCACTGGAAAACCTAGGAGTACTGGACAGATGTTTCGTCCTAGTTTGGGACTCTTCATCAGCACGCACCTATCGGGATTCGAACCTAGGACACTCCGGTTGCAAGGCGAGCTCGCATACCATTAAGCCACTGGGACCCGATCCAATGGCCCATGAATTCTAACTTCTGCCAATTCACGACATAGAGCGAACCCTGGCCCTATTCAGGTAGGTAGTTACCTGGGGTTCTAGTGAGAAGTCGTGACCAGTAGGGTGCAGCAGGTCGGGTGTGAGGACAAATACTCCCTGAAGACATTGGTTAGGGGTCGCGCTATGTCGTGAATTGGCAGAAGTTAGAATTCATGGGCCATTGGATCGGGTCCCAGTGGCTTAATGGTATACGAGCTCGCCTTGTAACAGGAGTGTCCTGGGTTCGAATCCCGGTAGGTGCGTGCTGATGAAGAGTCCCAAACTAGGACGAAACATCTGTCCAGTACTCCCAGGTTTTCCAGTGGTTCTCTAACCAATGTCAGCTCATGATGAAATCCCGTAACCAATCAAATCCCTAAAAACCAACACTTGAAAGCTTCATTTATTTCTAAAGGCAAAACGAATCATGATTTGTCTAGCTTACTGAACAGATCATCAATGAGTTCAACTTTTATCAAATACCTCACTAAAATAAATCTTCTACATGTATGCTAAGGAGGGATAAGTGATACGCTGATATGATGTATTCACAAAATCCATAAAATCATGATTACCAGGACACAATAACCGGAAGGTTAATCAATCATCTTTTAGACCATGAACATGATCTAAATGTCTCAACATTTATACTACAAGCTTATATTGTTTTAGCCGACTGTAAGTTTACGGTCTCATTGAAACAGTTTACATTTCTATGTTATATTCCTACCCTCCTCCCACCACAGTGATCTCATCACACTAAAAAATTAGTCACTACACGCTTCAATATGCATCTGATACAACCCGATAATATAACGGAACTAAGTATTATGCAATATGCTAGCCTCCCCCCGTCTCCGTCTTTGCTTGCGAAGCTAACGCAAGAGAGATGGTAAAGTATTAAATGTTAGCCAACAATCTATTTCCTTTATTGTCAAGATTCTTGTTTCAATCAGAAAATACTGTTCAATTGCATTCAAAAAGCTGACAGTTCAATTCCATCGTATTGTGTTGTGATTATAACTGCTTATGCGTCTTCGAAGAAGCAATGACGACAGTGTGTGTGTATGCCAACGTAAGAGTCAATGAAAAAACCGCTTGAGAGGGTGAGAGAAAGAAACGGGATTTCAGTTATAAGGACGACCAAATGAGCGACAGAGAATGAAGAGTAAACCAAAACATCTCTACAGCAGAATGGTTGATATTATTTCCAAATAATGGGATTAATGCACCGCTTATTGTTTTCTTACTGTCCATTATTATTATTACTAAAACACAAACACATTAAAGGCATCAAGTGATACACCACACAAATCTCACAGCCTAGAATACCCTGTTCGGATGCCAAGCCCGAAGCATGCGACTGTCTTGATTGTCCAACTCCCCAGCCTTTCACTTGAATTCAGACCCACAAAGCAGTGGTGCATCATGGCTTCCGGTGATTAAAACAAGTTCATACGCCATTCTATCCGTTCGGATTCTGAAGCCCGTGTACACTATAGCTTTAGAGTCAGGGTTTCCTAGCTCCTGTGGGTAAACCAGGATGTTAACACCACAGTCCAGTTATAAGGGCCAGCTATTCAAACTCGACTTTTCACTTTTGTGAAGAACACCCCAGTCGCATGAAGGCGATGAACAGAACTTACCAGACAGAGGCTATGAATGTGTGGCCATTTGAAAGTATTTCGAGAAAAAGCTGAAGTCTGCCCAGCCTCAGACGCATTAGGTCGTTTATAGGAGGTAATGTTCACTGTTTCTTGTGTTCCAATAAACATTAGGTCAGTTCATACCAGTTTTATTCTCCTTACTACGAACACCACGAATGAATACGATGACAAACCAATACCTAATCAATTTAACTATAAATACTAACAGATAAGTGTCATCTAATAAAAACAGGCGGGTTACAGACCTCACAATAAGGATAGATATATAATCACCAACCACACACTTCGATGACGTTAACAATATCATAATACAGCAGCAAAACAATAAAGAGAATTCAAAACTTTAATGGAAAAACTACACTACCTTTGATCCAATGATATTCTCGAGGGAAGTAGATAACTTAGTTGTGATGGAAACATCAAATCCAAAAGTATATCATTTGGACTATTATACTTGTTATGCTTAGCTATTAACTCGAATAAATGACTTAAAAGTGGTCTTCGATTCCGTTGACGAAGTGCACAGAATGCAGACAGTCCACCGATTAGCAGCTCGATAAATTTACGTGTACACAATCGATTTTGCAATGACATGGGTATTAAATCAGAGTCAATAGATGTATTATTACTAACAGCTGACCAACGACTGTTTGACTTTGAACCAAATGAAGATGGTTCATCAAAGGCTGTTGATAAGAATTTACTGCACAGTCGATCTATTCGTCCAAGTATTGGAAGTAGGCTGGCGAGTGATGAATCTAAGGCCTATAAAAAGAAAGGTAAATTCTTTTAAAATTGTACAAGTGAAGATACCAAGATAAATATTAAACCATAAACTTTATATCATGACTCGGCAGAGGCTACAACTGATGAGCCATTAAATCTTGTCCCGGTGGCTTAATGCTCAACGAACTCACCTTCTAACCTGAAGGTCGTGGTTGTGTACTGGGTGTACTGCTGGAGATTACTAAGCTAGGACGAAACAGCTGACAAGTACTCCTTGCTGGTTTGCAGTAGTTCTTTCACTGAATTCAGTGTGTGATCAGTCATCAAAATTCCGTTCTCTTATAAAGCAAAATAACCTTCCCAAAGGGAATTCTCCAAGGTTCCAGAATATCTAGGACACTATCGAACAGCTTATTACACATCACCTTGAGACAGTGACTGACCGGAACAATATATACAGCTGACTTCAGTACTATCGAATTTAGATATAAGAAGATATTAGTAAATTCAGTATCACTTTACAGAAACATATGTTAGAAGTTAGATAGTTGAAGGCAATCGGAAGGAAGCCTTGACAGACCTAGGTTTCGTCCTAGTTGGCACTCGTCAGCAAGGCGTATCTGGAACCTTGAAGGAACTCATGTCCCTTCTGAGATTCGAACCCGCGTCACCCAGTGCTGCTGTCAGAGACCTTACCTCTGACCTATTTGGGCTCGCGATTGACCTCCTGTAGGACTGTAGTGGGTATTTTCATTGGACACTAGTAACTAGTGTGACGTGTCTAGTCCTTTCTTTGGTGCAGACTGAATTCTATCAGTCAGGTTTGCAATGTGGCCACCATTCAATGTAGCTCGCCATCAGAATGGACATGAGTTCCTTCAAGGTTGCAGATACGCCCTGATGACGAGTGCCAACTAGCACGAAACCTGGGTCTGTCAAGGTTCCCTGCCGATTGCCTCCAACCATCTAATATCATCAAATCAATGTGCACGTGATGGCGAGCTACCTAGAATGGTGGCCACATTGCAAACCTTACTGATAGAATTCAGTCTGCACGAAAGACACGTCACACTAGTTACTAGTGTCCAATGAAAATGTTAGAAGTGTAATGTCGTAGGAAGGAAATGTCAAACTCCTAAAAGCTGCCAAAAAAAAAGTCTGCAATAACCTGTTAGGAGTGCTTTTTGTGACACATTAAGTCACTGGCCCATAGAGAAGAACTGATTTGACATTAGTGCAGAAAATCCGAGTCTCGTTCTCTATGCTGACAACAACAGACTTCTATACTGATTTCAGAAAAAATGAAGGTCTGCCTTGTCTTCCGCATCCGGGCTTTGATATCTTCGTACATGCCGCCTATAATTGCAACGATATCGCCTAGATAAGTGAAGGAGGCGAATTCGTTTACATTCCTCCCGTTGATGGTGACTGGTGGTTGTTGTTGTTGTTGCTGCTGGTTATGCATCTTCATCACCTGTCTTCTGTACAATCACTCGAAGTCCTGTTTTCACTGCCAGCATATCCCGTCTACTTGTTGGTTTTCGCCTGTAGATCCCTCAGTTTGTGTGACATTAGACATAAATCATCCGCTTGCTATACTGAAACTCTACAACAATCAACAGCAGAGAGCAATTCGGAAAAGTAATAGTGAGCACTAGCAGGTATGACGAGTGAATGTTTTCAGTGAAACTTAAATCCCAGAATACATTGAAGATGTTTGTCAGTGAACACTTCTGTAAAGTACACACTTCCTCAGTACTGCTGAGTTGTCAATATACTTTTAAATCTATAACAGTGTGCAATAAAACCTACTCTGAGCACCATTCAACCTCTACTAAACTTATTTATCGTATCTAGATTTTCAAGTGTTGGCTTGTAGGGATTTGATTGATTCCAGTTTCTATCACGAAGTCACTTCAGTTAGAAAACTAATGAAAACAAGCAGGAAGTACTGAACACCTGCTTCATCGTTTTTTGGGACTCTTCATTAGTACACACTTAAGACCTTCAAGTAACAAGGTGAACTCGTATACCGCCCACCCCTTTGGAGGAAGTTCAATGGCATATCAGTTCTAACTTCGGCCATTTCTCGATACAGGGCGACCGCCAACGTCACTACAAACAGAAGTTGTCCTAAGTTCCAGTAGAAACTTGTGGTCAGTGGGGTTCACTAGGTCAGGTATTAAGAAAAATACTCCACTATGAAAGCAACTGGCAGTTGTGCTAAAATCGCGAACTGAAAGAAGTTAGAATTTATGTACCACTGTTTTCCATCCCTTGGGCTGAATGGTATACGAGTTCGCCTTGTTACCTAAAGACACTGGGGCCGACCCTTGGTGCCATCATAGGCGCTTACTGGTAGGGAGTCACTAACATACACTAAACAGCCATCCAGTATCTAGATTTGTCTAGAAAACAAGCGCCTCATACATAAAATATAAAATAAAAACATATATGCATATACAAATTTAAAGGAAAAAAGAAAGCACCGATCCATAATCAACTACCTTTTGATCTGCAGTCAGAAGATCAAACATCAAATTCAAATAGCATATAATCGGCACTGAACTGATTAAAGCACTAAGAAACTGTTGATAATCACTGCTTTGATTGGTGTCCTCCTCTGGTAAGCCAACCAAAGTGGTCCATATAGCTTCTATGCGTTTACCAAATCGATAGTTTGTTTTCACCATAACAGTTGGCATTATTTCACTCGATGATTCCGTGTACGCAGTATATGCACCACCGATGGCAGCATACGTCAATAAGTGTAATACACGAGTCTCTTCATTGAAGCCTTTTAGACAACTTCCTGAACCAGGGCATACATCCATTTCTAAGTCTACATAATCCTTTTGTTTTAAATATTTTTTAAAAAAAAAAACAAATAAATTAAATATTCTGTAGTATGATAATTAAAACAATAAAATTAAGTGGATAGAAACTTAAGGTCGTTTAATTGAACATAACAGAGCTGCGGCTAACCGGTTTAAGCTCTACAACTCTGAACAGTTGGTTATAGATTCGAACGACATTTTCTATACAAAGTTTTGAACAGCTCTCTTCATTCATTGCTGAGAGTATTGAAACGATAGACGACAAAGACTTCGTAAAGGAATATTTATTCGGAAATTGGTATCTCTATATAGCCAAATTATGTACACCTTATCTTCAACGCACCATTTGCACGGATCTTCGTGTTATGGTACTTCTGGAATTCATGTTGTGTTTCTTTGTGTTCCTTTCAGGTCCCCCATATATCTCCACAATTCTGTATCATTTGCCTCCTCCGAAATCAAATATATCTCCTTGCAATTTGATGTTTAATGCCGAAGAATGTCTCTTTATATACTACTGGTAAATCTTATCAGTAGCACTCGCCACAGTATGAGTTGGAAGAGCAATCTCAAATACAGAAATAAACCCGTCAGAAACTATGACTCCCAAGTAACAGCTGGATCTTGGCGGTGAATATAAATTTAACAACATAAGCTCAAAAAAATCTCTTATGGATTTTATCCCAAAGAAAAAACAAACCTTAAATCAAATTAGCAATTGGCAAATTAATTTGTCATTTACACAATTCGAAGTGATACTGCGTCACCGTTTCCTTTGGAAACTGAAATTACTTAGATCACAATATGTGATCTGCTTGACACCTTAAATGGTAGTCAAGAAAAGAAGCACAAAACTATATACTACTGACTGATTGAAATGAGTAGTTGCATATCACTCATATCAACCAGTAGTGCTTGTCAGTTAGTCAAACCAGAGTGATGTAACACCGGACAGCTGTTTCGTTCGTTTTGGGTTTGAAATGATTCAGCTGCCAGAGTTCAGTCAAACAGGGTACACCACTGATGAGTTCGGCCCAATACGAGAGAAGCAGCCATCCAAAGTTGAAATCACTACTATCTGGCTACCTATCAAGTATTATCTACCGGTTAATGTGAGCGGTATACAACTACTCATCCCATTCGTGGAGACGTGGTTCACTGACACAAGCATTCGACTTTCAGTCGGTGCGTCCCGGGTTCGAATCCTGCCCCCCCCCATACTTCAGTCTGGGCAGCCACAGCCCTAACACAATAAGTGTGGCTCATGGCCTGGAATATGAAAGACCTGTTCCGCGTACTGAGTTCACCATACTGCTACTACCACTACTCATCCCAATTAGTCAGTAGTATATAGCTCTACGGAAAACAAACCTCGGGATGTTTATAACCAGAAATTAAACGAGAAAGTAGTCTGGCCACAGTAAATCTTACAATCCTCTGCTAAGAATGAATAGTTGGAGGTTTTAAAGTGATTTCAGGATTTTAAAATATTTAGAAGAAAATCTTGATACTTAACCATGACAACAAGTAGACTTTCTACTTTGTTCACTTAGGCAACAGACGATAAAGTTACTTAATCACTTGACACAATCTTATAAAAAAAACTGGTCATCAAGACGTAGACTAATCTTTGTCACATACACTCTGAATAAATTTACTACTGAGCTTATGTTGTAACGGCACAAGACACGAGAAGTGGTAATGGAACTAGTTATGTGTAACTTGACATACACATTTAAAGGCGAAATATCGTAGAATCGCAATTTGCATATATCTTCGGTATTATTCTACTTCATCTCTCGTACTGCTCTTCTTTGTCTTCCTTTCATGTTTCCCATGTTGTTTTTCAGACAACGTTTATTAAACCAATCTCTCCAGCATTTCATATTCTTAACGTTGGTAGACATATTTATGTCTGCATCTATATACTACTCATAAATTATGTCAGTAACACATGTCATAATGTTAATCATGCAACAAAACAACAACAAAAAACAGTTCACACTAGGTCATATTTGTTTAATGGGATAATTTATAAACATCACCAAAAAGAGTGCCTGAAGATTAATGTTTAACTTTCATTAATTATTGTTAACTTGATATATATATATATATATATATCTTGAAAATCCCCATTCAGTCATACAAAAAGAAAAAAAGCGTTCAGCGAAGAGACTCTTTTCGGCGAATTCATTCACTGAGCTGTACAATAGCATTTATATACAAAGAAATCTCGTCACTCAGTGCGAGATTCATTTGAATTCGTCAACTGCTTCGAAAACGTCAGTTTCTAATCAAACGATGATCTCACTAGATGCTGTCTCATTGTTTACAAATGTTCCACTCACATATGCAAGCTCATCCACTCAAAAGGAGTAAACATCGGCATACCCACCGATTATCTAAAAGAACTTCTGCTGAGATGCACCCTAAACGTCCAGTTCTCCTTTAACAATGAAATATATCGTCAAAAGGATGGTATAGCTATGGGCTCACCACTAGGCCCTCTGCTTGCGGATTTCTTTATGTCAAAACTCGAAAACACTTGTTTAAAGAATATGATTGACAACTTTGAACTCTACAAGAGATACGTCGACGACACCTTCATCATCTGCAACAACGAAGAGAATTTAGAAGATATCCTGAAGTTCTTCAACAACTGCCACCCTGCGATTCAGTTCACACTAGAGAAAGAGTCTAACTCAAAGATATCTTTTCTTGACGTTCAACTAACGAGACGCCAACAACACGGAACATTGAAAAGATCCAACTACAGAAAGCCAACGTGGAAGGGACAGCTCACTAACTTCCACAGTTGCGTGCCTATTTTTACTAAACGAAACCTAATCCGTTCATTAAGCCACAGAATACGTAGAATTTGCAGCCTGGACGCCATAGAAGATGAAATGAACACTCTTAAGAAAATCCTCCTTGAAAATGGCTATCCAGAAAGATTTATCACAAAATCAATGAAACCCAGACCAGAGAAGCCGCCCACACCCAGTGCTCCAAAAAGACTTCTCTATATGAACCTACAGTTCAATGGAGACCAATCTACAGAAATACTGAGAAATCGGCTCTCCCGCTCATTGAAGAAAACCTTCTTTGCAGCTGAATTACGACTGACGTTCTCCATGAGACCAATGATTCGCATGAACGTGAAGGATAAGCTACCGCTGTTGGCCTCATCTATGTGCATCTACCAATTCACCTGCTCGTGTGGAGCCAGGTATATCGGCCGTACTCAGCGTTCGCTATCCAAACGCGTCAACGAACATTTACCTTCATGGTTTTATAAAGGAGAAAACCGATGCCCCCGCAGCTCGATCCTTGAACATTTGATCGAATCTGGACACCAAGTCAAACCACAAATAAACTTCAAAGTTATCTACAGAATACAAGGCAATCTTGCTAAAAGTGTACGGATCAAACTTCTCCACATCGCAGAAGCAATGGCAATTCATCTGCTAAATCCTGAACTCTGCATACAAAAGAAATTCGTTCATTCATTAAATCTACAATGGACGTAATCTTTCTTAATTTCAGTCTTACTAATTGTATTATTTTGTCTTTTGCATTTTATTATTTCACATCTTCATTTGTATTATTCTCTACCCCACCCTTTTGTAATCTCTACCCTCATTAACAATGTTGCTAACTCGACCCACGTCCAATTTCTAGTCAACTATATTACGTCATCCGATTAACTTACTTAATTTTCAACTGTATTATTCTCTACCCCCACCCTTATTTAATTTTAACCACCACTCATTAACACTGTTGCCAACCTGACCTACTCTGAATTCTACTCAATTGTATTACGTCATCCAATTCACTTAATCAATTTTATTTTATTTTCTATCTAATTAACGTTTGTTTCCAAGCCAAATAATACTTATATTACGTAATTATCTAAACTTTATAAATCTAATGTACACACACACAAACAAAATTGTATATAAATGCGATTGTACAGCTCAGTGAATGAATTCGCCGAAAAGAGTCTCTTCGCTGAACGCCTTCTTTTCTTTAATATATATATATGTTTATGAGTATGTATATATATATATATATATGCATGAGTACACATACCTGTAGTAGTTTCAGTCTCGGAGTATATGTATTCTGATAGAAATCTGTCAATTTTTGCATATCCTCCTTCAATGATGGTCCAAAATCTTCAGGTATTGGATACATGGTTAAAGCAGAATCAAGTATACGTCTTGACTCTTCAACTGGGATTTTAACATCTTGAAGTGTAGCAGTGATAAGTAAATCTTGACTAATTTGCCAGAAACCTTTTGCATAAGCTCGCCATAAATTTAAATCCTGTTGATTTTTACCTTCGGAGATAATTGCACGACCACAATTACGCCAGATAGATATTGCAGTCTTAGAAAATACAAAATACAAAGTGTATATACATACAGTATGTAATGCAAACAAAAATAAACACTTGAGACGTATTTAGTAGAAAGGCCTGTCATTATCACCATTGGAACATTTATCAGGACCACTAATTGGGTGAACTGGTGATACTGTGGTGACAGCTGGCTGCAAGCCAAAATTGTAGACAGCAATTTACGTCAATGTTACATACCGAATCGGGGTCATGAGCAAAAAACAATAACAAAGCTTAACCTTGAGGAACTCACCAACTAATCACAGCAGACTTAACGTGTTCAAATAAGATTTGCAGATACATGGCTTAACTTCCTGAAGAACGGTCACGAAGAGATGACAGAATAACCTTCAGTAAGAAAACAACCAATCAGAAGACGTTGCTTCTTCGCTGACAATAATGTACGTAAAAATCTATAAAGAAGCTGTTGATTTTCTCAATAAACGATCTGTTGACTGGCCCTTGTCTTCTGTCGTTACAATACCATTAATCAAATTCACAATCTGCAAATTAGTTAGTCATCTGCAATGCAGACAGTTAGACGGGTAGAATTTTCACCACAGTTTCCTTTGGGAACCAAAACTACTGATTAATTTAAGTAGTATACAACAACTCATCTCAACCAATCAGTAGTATATAGTTTTATCTAAATATGATTGCTTTCTACATTGACATTTATGACATGAAGTGGATCACAAACTGTGATTTCCAAAGAAAAGGAAGTATGAGCCGAAGATGTTGCCTAGTGGGGCAATGAAAGCTTCGCAAATAAACCATCCAGCACAGAGAACACAACTACATCAAAATCATCCACCTGGTCTACAAATCTCCATTGAATTGCTAACTAATTTGAAGATTGTCTGTCTGTACTCGACATAGAACTTTGCACATATGTGCAGCAATTCAAGTAGCCACACTCCACGTAGCACACAAAGCAAGAGAAGAAAGTAGAAGAAATGCATATTAGAGACAGTAAACAGAGGTGTGAGACAAAGGAATAGTAATAACGAAGAACAATATAGTTTCATTGGAAATCATAAGTCACAAGGAGTGGATGCATCTGCGCTAGCCATTGAGAACGATTTTGAGCCATATCACCAATTGCTTCCAAACATTGGTTTTTACCGTCCCGAGGACCCCAACCGGGAAGTCTACACCTTCCTACTTGGCCTAGACTAACTGTTGTAGATTTCATTGACTGGTGCCATGTTTTGGTTCGACCGCCGCTAGCTCTTTTCCAGCCTGACCCTATGTCAGCTAACATAGCCCGTCGAGAAAGGCGATGACTAGGCATACGTAACATATGTCCTAACCATCTCAATAGGTGTAACTTCACAGCCTCGTCGATTGATTTCCCCGCCTTACCTAGCACTCGACCGATGCCTAACCACAATATTGCTCACCCTATGATACCACTTCACACGGGAGACAGAATGCAGGTACCTATGATCAAAGACACCTAATCTTTTCATGTCTTCTGCTCTCAATGGCCAGGTCTCACAGCCATAAAGGAGGACGTAGCGGACTGCTCAGCAGTACACCCGCCCTTTGGTCGATAGCCAGCCGGATGTCACGTCTACGCCAGAGACGGCGCAAACTGGCATATGCACAACTAACCCTCTATATCCGTACCAAGATTTCGTCAGAGATCAACCCGTTGGGGCTGATGGTACTTCCCAAACAAGTGAAGCGGTCAACGTGCTCTACCACTTCACTCCCTATTTCTAAGCTAGGAGTCAGTGTAGTCCAATCCTGTAACATCATCTTACATTCGGCGAGAGCGAATCACATGCCAAACATTCGTAGATTGCAGCTCAAGATGTTCAGAAGACTCTGCATTTTGTCAGCGTCCTCGCCTAGAAGGATTGTGAGTTTAATTTACAGCAGCAAATCTTTTGAGCCTTTGTGAATGGAATAAGTCCAAATTGGGAGTGTGGACAGTGTGTATCCGACCACCATTGTCTGTGAAGAACCATTAATACTATGACATAACATGCAATTAGTGGTTGTTTATGTATATATATATATATATATATATATATATATATATATATATATATATATATCAGCATTATGATCCACTCAATGTACCTTGTTTGTCAGTGGCTTGTATTGAATTCCAAGAGGCAAGTCTTTCTACTTGGAACTGGCCACTAGCATACATCCAAATCCCACTGAGATATTTCAGGTATTTAGCCAAGCAGTTCACATTTTAAGATGAGACTAAATAATAATTCAATCTAGAAATAACGAGATTATTATGATTGTTCCCATAGGTTCTGAGTGGAAGATAGGTCTTCAACAGCACATCTCCACTTTGTCCTATTTTCTGCGGTCCTCTTTAGCTGGCCCCACGATTACCCATAATCTCTTATCGTTTCCTCGCATGTTCTACTCCATGCCACCCTCGAAGCGACACCCCACTCGTCGTTTCCCATTCCGGTTTTACCCGAGCGACGGCCTGGCGCGCTATGTCATTCGACGGTCTCCTAAGCGTGTGCCCGGTCCATTTCCATTTTTGTCTACTTATTTGTCGACCACAATAGGTTCTTGGTTGGTTCGTTCCCAGACTTTCTTGTTGTTAATTCTTTCTGGTCATTTAATCTTCAATATAGGGCGAAGGCAGCTGTTGATAAAAGTCTGCATTAGCCTGTTGGAGATATTTTTCGTGAAGCACCAAGTTTCTGACCCACATTGAAGCACTGACTGACTTTACATTTGTGTTGAAAATAGGAATTTTATTCTCTATGCTGAGTGCAGAAGATCTCCACACTGACTGCAGAGTGATGAAGGTCTGCCTTACTTTTCCAATCCTGGTTTTGACATCCTCAAGTGTACTGCCTATTGTTGAAACGATTCTTCCTAGATAGGTGAAGGAAGTGACCTTTTACAAATTTTTCAACTAACGATGGTGAACCATTAACATAATCGAGAAATGACTTGTTTTGAAGGTATTCTACAAAATTCTCTTGACTACTTAGAAAGATTATATATGATGACTTCCCTACTGAACACTACTCGTCAACAAATGGAATACATAGAAGAAAGAAGATTGTCAGATTGACGTGACTCTGGGTAGTGAAGTATAATTATACAGTCAGTGGGTTCAGCGATATACTAAGCAGTTGTTTGATAGGAAGTGAATAAATTGTTCTTCACCAGGTTACTGGCTTAGTTCATTGCTATGGAAGATCGCCAAAGAAGATAGAACTCCCTATCATAATTTTCTTCATAGTATTGCTTGGTTATGATGGAGTCAAAATATCGAACCCGTTCACAGGATTGATATGACTAAGACGTTAAGAGGCTATGTATAGAGAGCTTTGTTAGTGCCGTCTATGATCGGCGATAATTATACATGAATATTTACTCTTTGAAATATCAGAAATTTCGAAAAGTAAGAGAATAAAAGATACAAACTTTAAAATGTACCTTTGAATATAGCATCTACGTGAAGTGCGGGTCACGAGCCATACAATTCGAGCTTAACTTAATGATACTATTTCCCTAAAACTCAATAGGTAAGCTAAGCTGCAGACTAACAATGCCCTAAATGTAGATAGTGTTGAAGCTAATGAAGCCTACAATTGCAACAATACTCAGAGTTTTCATGTGACAACTAGAATTACACTTTAGATGCAGTGCATTTCCCGACCGAAAGCTGCTACCTTGACGTGGTGGTCGGGCTTGAACACTGCAATGACCCAACAAGCTATATTGGCTGAGACTTATGTCGCTTGAGGTCCTACCATGCCAGAAAGATTGTTTGGATAGCGGTTAGACAAAAAGCAGCTACCCAATCCAATGCTATGACTCAAACAAAATCACAAAATATCATGCTGGATCGGTCGGGGCCCGGATTAACAACGACCGCGCTTCCTGTTGCCGTGTCACAGGGCAGAAGTGATAAATATGCTACTGAGACACACCAAATAAAAAAGAACAACAAAAACAGGTCGCGTGTGACTGGCCTCAAGTAGTTGTCCCCTGGGCTCTGCGATCACGCAACCAACTTCCATGGTGTGGGCAGCCGGGAAGTAACAATCGCCCTCACAATCCAAAATGCACGCGAAACCTCTCTAATCCTCACTTGTAGCGCATTATTTAACTGAGTTTTTACATTCCCATATTTGGTGGACATCACAGTAATTTCGGTGGATTATTATTATTATGAATAACAGTATTGAAAAAGAACTAAAATTAAATATAATTTACATCATTACTTATTCCTCCTTACCTTAACACCAACTGATTGTGTTTGAATTGAATTTGAAAGACGTTCAGATGCTATTGTAAAACGTAATTTACTTAACGTGGTCCGCCAGTTCTCTTTCACTTTAACTGGCCACCAAGATGGTAATTCATTCATTTGAAGAAGTGCTGCATCAATAAAACAACGATGAGCTTGAGCCCAAACATCTTGATGTTCATTAGCCATTTGTGAGGAAGTATTCAACTGTTCATTATCATTTCGGGGATTTGATGTTTCTGAATTACTTGACATCCATGACTGAGATGGGAATGGTGTTAAACCTTGACGCTGAACACTACCAACACATGCTATATCGTGTACAAGGCGAATATCTAATATGTGCGGGAGATAGAATACAAATACTTGGATATAAAACTAGTTTGATGCACAACACTACACGCTAATATATACTGGGATAAATAATGTAATAAGGGCAAAATCACATTTTAGTGCAAATTGATTGATTAAGTATCCATGATTCGAATTCGTTTCAATCTAGGAAGTTGAGTAACACGATTACAGGAATCTATTCGTGTACACTCAGTAGCAATTGAAAACATTTGTTTCTCGCAGTACATAGAAAACAAACAGCAGGTGTGAAAGAAGCAGTATTTAATGAATTCATCTTCGGTGGGGCTCGTCAGATGGATGCTATACAAACATCTCCAATTATGCAGTTTTCTGAGGTTAAATACATACAAACACACGAACACTGTTATAACAAGTGGCACAGTGGTTTGGACGCTCGCCAACCATGAAAATGTTTCGAGGTTCGATCTCCGGCCGACGCACACCTGATATCAATGGTTGGCCTGCTAAATTTGGGCTACCGATATCACACACTGACAATTCCATACCTGTATCAAAAATACTGTGTGGAGACAAGCTATAATAAAATTAATTAATTAATTATCTCTAGGCGGTGAGTAGTAATCTGTTTTAACGTCATTACTAAGTGAATAGTCATCAAAGCGCATATTAACATAAAAACTTGAGTTACTGTGGTAGGATTACTGCAATTTTAAACATCTAGACTAGATAAGATTGAAATATAAGGAAACTTCGTAAATTTAACACAAGTAAGCCATATAGGACTAAATAACAAGGTTTTAACATGTCTGATCAAAACTCAAAAAATAGTTTGAACACTCCTCATCAAGATTAATACTCAACTATGATTTTCGATTTGCGCATACCCCAAGAAAAATAGCAGTACGTCAGACGAAAAAAACAATAATACTTTGATAAAGCTATTAGCATTAAATAGCGAAATGTCAGTAAAAACAATATCATTTTGTTTTTCATTCATTGGGAAATACAAAAAAACCTTTATTATAATGAATATCATATACCCAATGCCCAAATTTTTTCAAACTGTTAAAAGTGAACTTGGTTTGGACATATATAACAGTGGAGAAAACATTGTAAAAGGAAGAGGTAAAGGAAGAAAAATTACAAAGGTAAAATAAAAGCACGCTACCAAGGTATAAATACATAGATCCGGTTCCTTTAATCTGATTGCGCAGGCTTTAGTAAAACCAATAGCTTTTAAAAAAAATTAGTTTGCTTATTAATTAACCACAAAGCTTTTACTCAACGTTACCATATAAACACAGTTAAATAAATGTCGTTTGATTGAACTCCTTTGGGTGCTATCATGAGCACTAGTAGTGTTTGGCAACGCGAACTGGTGGACATCTTTCCGTGCGCCCAATGTATTTACTTCCACAAGCACATGTAGACTAATATAAGCATTTTGATGTGGCGGGGTTCAATGTCTTATCTTCACCTGTTGCTCGCATTATTTCCTCTGTAGTATTTATCAGCTGCATAATAGGTTCGTTTAATGGCTTTCTCCAAACGACGTTTCATCAATTGAGTAACACTGTCTCCCTTGGAAGGCAACTTTATGGTGAACCTTCTTCGTTGAAACAGCCACTTTTATTACTTTTCCTTTCTTATCTTTTGAATACTTATTTATAAACCTTTCCATCTCCCTCAAGAATAATGTTCAAACCAGACTCCTTTTGTATAGGAATGGAACGATGCTATTGAAATATACGAATTGTCCCGTGCAAGTTGGCTTTTTATAAATCAATCTCTCTAAAGTTCTATCAGCCAGTTTTAACGGGTTTACAGCCAAGAAATGTATAGTATCATTATCGTCGTGTTGTTAGGATTGATACTTATTTTTTGTCACAAAGTTTATGTGTTTGCAGGTATTCAAACTTAGAAAATTGTATAAATAATAGTGTTTGCAGAGCATTCAGCTGACGAGTCCTACCGAAATTTATGAATTCATCAACAACTGACCTTTTTTACAGTTGCCGCTTGTTTTAAACTCAGAAGTAGGCGAAACGTAGTAAGTTTCAAACCACAAATTCTTACTATAAACTTCGCTGTTGTGTTTAATTACACAAAAGTTGCATTCCACTATTCCGGGGTTCGACCCCCTGCCGGCGCACACCCGATATCTATGGTTGGCCTGTAAAATTTGGGCTACTGATATCCATGCTGAAAATTCCATACCTGTACCTAAAAATACGGTGTGGCATCAAGCTGTAATAATAATAATAATAATAATAATAATAATAATAATAATAATAATGATAAGTTAGCCATTAAATGGTAATGAATGAAATGCTCAGAACAAAAACACCTTGAATAGTCTAAAAAAGTTATTGCAGATTAAAATCACTAAAAAGTAAGTTACCGATAAAGACTAGACGATGTATTATAGATAAGTTTATCTGGTGATACAGTTTGATAAAAAGCAAAGGAGAGATTGAAAGTTAAAACAAAATACTGATATCCCCTACCTCTAAATGTATACTTTAGTACCTTAGTAAAGTACGACAATGTTTTTACCAACTTACGCAGAAAGTAGCAATCAGACGAACAGAGTTTTGTCACCCCCTCCCCACCCCCCAAAGAATGACTTGGTATGGTTGACTAAGGCTGAATTCCAGAAATTCCTTCATAGCTTTCTTCATTCAATTTCTTCATACAACGGCGGGGGGATTGGCAAGAGTGGAAGGGTTAACGCGAATGCTTAAATTAGGGGATATGAAGAATTCACCTGAGGGGGTGAGAGGTTGGAAAAGCTTGCAAATAGGTTTCAGTGGCCGAAAGCAACAAATGGAGCATAAGCGTCTTTCGATCACAATCAACCATAGGAATAAAATTTCACTGGTTACTTTCATACCTAATGGATTAGATTGCAGATCAGATCACTTAGCTATCAGCTACAGATGGTGTGGGCGCCTACAAAACTGCTGCTTCTTGCAGAACACTCAACTGAATTCTAGTGATTTATTACTGTGCCATATTCATTTTGCATTTAAGTGGTTTCGCTCAATATTATCTCTTAGCGGGTTGATATTAGAAAGTTCTTTGCACTTACTACATTTAAATATAAAGCTGAGCTTGACACAAGAGTATCTATTCAACCTCTACAAAGTATAGACAAATGATGGCTGCACTTATGAAATACGACTGAAGCCGCTCACAACTTAGTGAGGCGTCCCTTTAACAAAGATTGACTTTCTTCTTCTGAGTTCTTGTAACTTGTTGACGCTCATAAGGCTCTCACGCACGAAATTAAACTACTTATGAAAATAAACGTAGCAAGGACTAGTAGTCAGAATGTGTGATATGGAGATATACACAGCATCTGGTAGCACTCAGAAGTTATTCTAGATCACCTACGCTACCGACAGACAAAAACTTGTTGTCAGTACGAAGGTATCTGAGACAAACTATAAACCGATTGGAAAAATACAAAGATGCCTGAACAACTAGGTATAGTTCAACTGGCCTATAGCGCTAATGTATTTTACTCTAAAGCACCGAATCATACGGTCAGCTAACGATGAGCCTCATGGTGAAGCATAAGTTTGACAGGAATCCTAGATACTCAGGTTTCATAAGGCACTCAGTCCTAACAAGTTGTCTGAACCTTAAGCTTCTCGATTAGGTTATTTTGGATAGCGTGGAGGATTAAGAATGTTCCACCAATGTGTGGGATGGCAGCATCTAAGTGTTCACTGTTATAAAATGCTCGCCTTAATTCAAAGGAAAATCAATCAAAGACCAAGCTGAGGTTTGTTCCGAACGTTGATGCATTTATCCGTGTTTGCCTTCCATCAATCGCTCGAACGACGGTACATGTATTGTTGAGCAGCAATCGCAAACGTCTCTATATCATTTCATTCATTTTTCATTTAAACGCAGAAAAACTTGGTACAATATGGCACCAAGAATAATGCGCCACACAATAATAATAAAACAACATAGATTAAAAGTAAAAATATAGGTAGAAAACGAATAAAGAAATTCATCAGGAAGGAAGACAGTCATATTTAACAAGTTCAAACAGTATTCGTTAACTATCATCAGGAAGGGAAGAAAGAAGGAAATTGCAACACGTTCGCCATTGATTACGATTCTTGGCCATATCCGATAACGTTTCGAGCCATCGATTCGAGCTATCTCGCGGACCTCAACCAGGGATTCGTGACACACCAACCGATGCTAATCTAGCACAAATATCCTTCATCCCACGACGCCACGTCATGGACTAACACCCCCCTCCGCTTTTTTCATCCCGTCCCAGGGCTAGCGAACAGAGACCTGTACGGAAGCCTCTGGGATGACATTCGCAGCACATGTCCAAGCCACCGGAGCTGGTGTTTCCAGATGACGACACTCAATGAATGGTGATCTCCACTGTGTTCAAACACATGCCGCCGAACCTCAGAATTACTCACGCGATGATGCCATCGAACGCAAGCAATCCTGCGGAGACAGCGATGATCGAACACGCAGAGTCGCCGCACATCCTCAGCTCGGAGAGGCCAGGTTTCACAGGCGTAGAGCAAGACAGCCCGCACCGAAGCATTGTATACCCGACCTTTGACAGCCAGGCTAACGTCGCGACGGCGCCAGAGGTGGCACAAGTTGATGTATGCCACTCTAGCCTTCATTATACGGTTGGAAATCTCATCCGTCACCCCTCCGCCAGCACTCACACAACTACCCAGGTACACAAACTTATCAACAACTTCAAGCGGTTCATCCGCAAGAGTGAGCGCAGGTACAGGCTCCTGCCAATCTTGTAACAGTACTTTGCACTTAGACGGTGCAAAGCACATACCGTACTTACAGACACTGATCGCCAACTGATTAAGTGCGATTTGGGCAGCCTGCATGCTATCGCACAGTAAGACGATATCGCCTGCATACTCGAGGTCGAAAAGTCTATCTCCAGGTAGCAGATCTACACCACCTTCACGCACATCCTTCAGAGCTGACTCCAGAATGTCATCGATGG